AGTAACCTGTCATTCAGTCTGTCATCGAACAGGGTGCTGCACTCTTTGCATTGACTGAAGCAGAAAAGAGCTATTTCCCCCTTTTCTATGAATCTTTTTCTCATTTGTATATTCAATTTTTCAATTTCTTTTTTGTGGCCTGTTGTTTTTCAAAATCCACATTTGAATCAATATCATGATTCCAAATAAAGCTGTGTTTTGCAATTGACTGATGATGACTTTGTCATGGTGTTCAAGTGAAGCTCCAGCTCCAGCCACTGGGCCTGTTGGAGGATTAGGCTCCCTGTCCTCAGACAAATTAAGACACTAAAACATTTTAAAACAGTAAAAAAAACCCATCCAAAATAGCTATGCATAGCAGCCGAGATACTTGACCAGTTAGTAATTCAGCCAGGAAATGAGCTTCTGACATATTCAGCACCCTAGTTGCAGAAACATAGCCAGGTGTTTAGGGTCTTATTAAAGGTTAACAGGGTTGGGGCCATTCTAATCTCTGAAGGAAGGATATTCCATGGATAAGGGGCCATGGCAGAAAAGCCATGTTTTCTAGTCCCCACCAGCTGACACTCTTTTTCTGACAGGATCTGTGGCATGCCCATTCTGCTACATTGAGTTGGATGGATAAAGTCTCTTGGAGAAAGGCAGTCCCTCAGGTAATCTGGTACCAAGCTAACCATCACTTTGAATTGCACTTGGAAACACACCCAGTAACCAATGCAGCTCACATGAAAGTGGTATTATGTATGCTGTATATTTGGCACCATTTATTACCCCCACAGCCATATTCTGCACCACATCAAGTTTCTAAACGCTCTTCAGGGATGGCCCCTGTAGAGCATGTTATAATAGTCTAAACAAGAGGTTACAAGGGCATGAGTATCTGTAAGCTGCGCCTTCCAGTACAGAAATGGGTGCAATTGGTGTGCCACCCAAAGGTGTGCAAAGGCTCTCCTAGTCACAGCTGCCCCTTGCTCTTTGAACAGGAGCCGCAAGTCCAGGAGAATCCCCAGATTGTGCACTGGGTCTGCCTAGAGTAGTGCAACCCCATCCAGTACTAAAAATGGAAGAGCCTTGTGTCCAGAGGGTCCAAATACCCACAGCCATTCTACTTTCTAGGGTTGAGTTGGAACCTGTTTCACCCCATTCAATCCCCAACAGCCTTCAGACATTTGGGATAGGATGTCCACAGCATCATTCAAGGGGCCTGGGGTAGAGATAGAAAGCTGGGGGTCATCTGCATATTAATGATATCTCATGCCAAATTGATGGATCACCTCACCTAGTGGCCTCATCTAAATGTTAAATAGAAGCAGAGAGAGAATCAAACCCTGAGGCACCCCAAAAAGTAGGGGCTGTGGGCAGGATATTTTTCTTTCTGTCAACACCGTCTGGAGAAACCTAACGATACAGTGCTACCCACCCCCAATTCCCGAAGCCAGCCCAGAGGAATTACTATGATTGATGGTATTGAACACTGCTGAGAGGTCAAGAAGAGCCAGGATGGATGCACTACCTACATCCTGCTGTCACCAGAGGTCATCCATGAGTGCAATCAATGTTGCCTTAGTCCCAAACCCTGGTCTGAACCACAACTGAAAGGGGTCTGGATAATTTACCTCATCCAGGGTTTTCTGAAGCTGATATGCTACCACTCTCTCTACAAACTTCTCTAAAAATGAGATTGAAGACTGGATGAAAACTGTCCAGAGAACTTGGATCAAGTGATGATCCTCTGAGGAAGGGGTGCACCATCATCTAAGAGCCAGCAGGCCACTCCTTCTAAGAGAGGTTTACCACCCAGACCCAATCACATATCAGTTGGGCCTGAATAGTTTGGGTCAGGCCCATGCAATTGAGCTACCTCTGACTCTTTATCTAGGGATGGCAGGTTGAAGTCTCCCAGCACCATAAGTTCAGGGAGCTCTACCACCAACCCAGCTATGGAATCAAGGAGCTCAGATTGTTACATAGCAGCAACAATCCTAACTGACCTCTCCTGGTGTCCAACTTAAGAAACAGTGTTTCACATCCAGCAATGTGAGGGACAAAGCTCCTGGGTGCCTCCCAAGTATCTTGGACAATCTCGGATATATAACTTATCTATTTTTGAAAAGGTAATTTCATTAATGCAAAAATAGTGTGTACTTTTTGTTTCCTATTTTTTTGTATTTTTTCATAAATGTTCTTTCAGTAAATAAATAATGATAATAAGAATTCAAAAGGATCCACTATGATCAAATGTCTATTTCAAAGTTTTTTTTTTCCAGAGAGGGCCTGAGAGAGTGATGATTGCAGCTAAACCTCTGAGTGCCCTTAAGGTGGAAGATGATTGTTTATCTGGAGAATTCAGGAAGCCTCAGGGATGGTTTGTCTCCTTTTTTTCCCCAGAGAAACCCTCCTCTGGAGAATTTAGGAAAAATTTTTTAGTAATGCTAATAATATTCTCACTTCATATCACCAAGAGGGATAATTTAATTGCTTCTACAGGGAACTGAGGCTGCTTAATTGGAAACAGGGATGTGGACACCTTATTCAGGAAAAAACAAAACTCCCATATAGGTTGATCTATTGGCTTCTCCACCAGACTTAGAAGAAAAGCGTGCGCAGCTTTATCTAGGTAAGTTTGGCATATCTGGGAATAATTTAGATGTCCAATAAAATTCTATGATTATTGCAGTTAGGACTTGACCAATACTTACAAATCTCCTTTTTGTCCCCTCTGGTTGTAAAGAGTCTCAGAGCCATGCACCAACCCATCCATTCCTGCTCTTCTATGAATAGAAGGTGTTCATAAGTGGTTCATTTTCTGATTTCTGCTTCCTCCAGAAGCAGCTCCATGTATCATGTGCATGACGGTCACTTCTTCCAACTCTTTCTCTAAAGAAAGGCTGAAGTCAATCCTGCCTCTGACAAGAGCCTTAGAATGAGAGATGACAGCCGAAGTCCAGGTACAGCTCTGAGAAATGACAGAGAAAGCTTTTTACATCACTTCTTTGGAATGTTTAATTACCTAAACTGTTGTCTTCCATGAAGTGTAAATAGCAATAGCACTTAGACTTATATACTGCCCCACACTGCATTTCAGTGCATCCCAACCCCCAGTTCAGGCTGTGGCATGCCGGAAACCAGCAATGTAAACAACTGAAGGTCCATTTGTGGGATGCAGGCAACCTGCAGAACAATGTCTCCTCTGCAGAAAAACCTCTTTCCATGAAACTGGTACCAGGGGCCCAAAAGGAATAACAATTGAAATAGCAATAGCAATAGCACTTAGACTTGTATACTGATCCATGGTGCTTTACAGCACTCTCTGGGCAGTTTACAATGTCAGCATATTGCCCCTAACAATCTGGGTCCTCATTTTACCAAAGGATGGAAGGTTGAGTCAACCTGGAACCCCATCAGGATCGAACTCCAGACTGAGGGCAGAGTTTACCTGCGATACTGCATTCTAACCATTGTGCTAACCAATTGTGGAAAGAGAGTTGTTCACACCTTTGACGAAAGAAGACAGTAATCTGGATCTAAGTAAAAGATGGAATCCTCTGCTGAGATGAGCTTCAGGAAGAACCTTGGCTGAAAAATGTTCAGTTGCACAAGGGAAAGAAGGCAGATCTTTTCTGCTGCTTCACTGGCTCGAAAACAGGTCACTTAGTGGGCGTTGGGTGGGGAGTAGACCTGCATTTTGGGCCACAAAAAAGAAAGACAGCAGTTTACAAAACTATACCAGACATCATATTTGTTATTGCTTCTGCTTAAGCAATATGTCCTCTGGGATAGTTTGAATGAAAATCAGAGCAGGTCAGTCAACCTCAGGTAGCTAATTTTGAACTTTCATTAAAAGGGAGAAAATTATGAACACGTATGAAGAAAATATTTGTTTCTTCAACATTAGAAACATGACAGAGAAACAACAGAACATTCTGGATGAAATTGTTAGGTATAAAACAGATGAAGTTGTATATAAAGCTTAGTGGATTATGAAGTCCTCAGATGAGTTAATTGAAGCATCTTGGAGTCCTAGAGTCAAACACTTAAATATGAGCCAGCAGTGTGCTGCAGCTGCCAAAAAAGCCAATGTAGTCCTAAGAGGGAGTCAAGCTATTCTCCAAAGCACCCGAAGGCAGGATAAGAAGCAATGGATGGAAACTAATCAACTACAACTAAGGAGAAATTTCCTGACAGTTAGAAGAATTAATCAGTGGAACGACTTGCCTCCAGAGGTTGTAGGTGCTCCAACACTGGAGGTTTTTGAGAAGAAATAGGACAACCATTTATCTGATAATGGTAGAGGGTTTCCTGCTTGAGCAGTGGATTGGACTAGAAGACCTCCAAGGTCCCTTCCAACTCTATTATTCTGTTATTCTGATTTACTTAGCGATGGAAAGTGCAGATGAAATTGAAGTCAATATAGAACAATATTTGTAGCTCAGGATTGAACTGGGGAGTCCTTGGTGCTCTCTGAGCTTGGTTGTTGTCTTTCAAACTTTTCATTATCAAACTAGGCAACATCGTCATCGAGAGAGTGTGAGGTTTGCTCTCATTATAGATTCTATTAGCTTGCCCTGTCATTGTTGGTGGAAGCGGTCTTGCTGGTTCCTTGATTGGGTGGTTTATTGCTAGCTTGTTTGGCAGTCCCTTGATTGGGGCATTGTTTGCTTTTTGATTGTTACTTAATATTACTCTTGGTGTTAATCTATGCTCATCTGGGTGTTGATTGCTGGTGAGGAGGTGTTTTACTCTTTTCATCCCCGTTTTGGCTTGCTAAATGTCTCTTTTTCAATGGATGAAGCCTGTATCCCATAACTATGTACAGAATGTTAAAAACTGGAAGCCAAATCAATTTTGGGCAAAGTTAACAGCAGCATACCAAATACTGTAGGTTGAAGGGTTTTCAACACCTGGCTCAAAACCATAGCACAAATTCTGTATTCTGGGGCTTAAAATTGTCAAATGTTCACTTCTTTTTGTTTTCTAAACAGGTTATGCTTATGAAAATGATGGAAGCGGAAGGCAATCGGACACTGGTTACTGATTTTGTCCTTGTTGGATTTACAAGAGACCCATATCTACGAATAATCTTCTTTGTGCTGTTCTTGGCCTCCTACACCATTACACTGACTGGGAATCTGGGCCTCATGACCCTGATCTACATAGACTCCCGCTTGCACACACCTATGTACTTCTTTGTGGGCAGCCTTTCCTTCCTGGATGTCTGGTACTCCTCAGTCTACACTCCTCGGATCTTGTTTGACTGTGTATCCAAAAATAATCACATGTCCCTAGCTGGTTGTGCAGCACAATTGTTCTTCTCTGCCGGCTTGGCCTATAGTGAATGCTTCCTACTGGCCTTCATGGCCTATGACCGCTATGTGGCCATCTGCAATCCACTCCTTTATATTATTGCCATGCCCAAGAAGCTCTGTATCCAGCTGCTGGTGGCAGCTTATGCAGGTGGCTTTGCCAATGCCATTGCACATATTAGTAACACTTTCCGCCTACGCTTCTGCGGAAACAATGTCATCAACCACTACTTTTGCGATGTGCTGCCTCTTCTGAAAATGTCCTGCGATGATATAGGGTTCTATGAAGTCATTCTGACTGCTCTCATAGGTTGCAATTGGCTGGTAACTTCAGCTATCATCCTGAGCTCCTATATTGGTATTGTGGGAGCCATCATTCGTATCCATTCATCTGCAGGGAGACGCAAAGCCTTCTTTACTTGCTCAGCCCACTTGGTGTCAGTTACCCTCTTCTATGGCTCCATTCTTACCATGTATTGCAGACCCAAATCTCAACACACTCCAAATTGGAACAAGGCAAATGCATTGTTTTATACTGTAATCGGTCCTCTGGCCAACCCTTTCATTTATAGCTTACGCAACAAAGATGTGAAGGCAGCTTTCAACAAAGTCTGGGAGAGATTCACATCATATAAATCAGTAGTTCTCAACCTTCCTAATGCCACAATCCTTTAATACAGTTCCTCATGTTGTGGTGACCCCCAACCATAAAATATTCCAGGGTCATGTGATCACCTTTTGCAACCTTGTGACAAGCAAAGCTAGTGGGGAAACCAGATTCACTGAACAACCATGTTACTAATATAATCTCTCTCTCTCTTTCTTTCTCTTTCTCCCTCTCTTTCTCTCTCTCTCTCCCTTTCTCTTTCCCTCTTTCCCTTTCTTTCTCTCTCCCTGTCTCTCTTTCTCTCTCCCTCTTTCTCTCCCTCTTTCTCCCTTTCTTTCTCTCTCCCTGTCTCCCTTTCTCTCTCTTTCTCTCTCCCTCTCTCCTTCTCTTTCTCTCTCTCCCTCTCTCTTTCTCTCTCTCCCTCTCTCTATTTTTCTTTCCCTCTTTCTCTCCCTCTCTCTATTTCTCTCTCCCTCTCAAAGATCCTTAAAATCCTTAAAAGTTATGCTTGGGTGGAAGACTTTTTCTTTTACAGATGGGGCGCATGGGCCCGACATTTGCGGGCAGGCAGGACCCCGCCTGCCAAGCCGCCACCCTCCATGCCAGCCGGCTCCCTTGCCAGACCTCCCAGGTGACAAGCGCAAATTTGGGGGTCGCCAGCTGACAGGCATAGAGTTCGGTGCTGCGGCGGCCTCCCCTTTGCCTTCCTCACTGGCCAAAGCGTTGCTGGACATTCCAGCTGATGGGTGCAGGTCCAGAGGTCGCCAGCTGACGGGTGTAGGAGGCCGGCACCGCGGCAGCCTTCCAGCCATCTGCTTCTTAGGCTGTAGCAGTTGCCAGGGCTTGCATGGTCGCCGACGGTGGGGAGCGAGTCAGCGGCCATTGGGGACCACGCCAATGGTCCTGTGCCATGGAGGCTTGAGGCATGGAGGCACAGGACACGGAGGCAGCAGGACAGGGGGGAAGGGTTACCTGCATCCTGCCAGCCGAACTCTGGAAGTCTGCCTGAATGAAGAATTTTAGGGGGTGTTGAAAGGGAGACAGACTGAGGGCTGTATTAAGACCATAGATGGCTGCGTAAGGAGAGTGGAAGGGAGGTGAATTTGGCATGGAGCAGAAAACACGGGGGGAAAGGCGTTAGGAAATAAACACCAAGGTACATGGTGCCTTGCAAGGGATTCTCGAGTGTTGTGTAATTGTTTTTCCTCTCTCCTCTATGTGAGAAAAACTTTTGTGGTGTAAATCTGAAACCAGCTGTTCCTGTGAGGTAGCGCAGGAGGTCCTTGGGAAAGGAGAGTACAAGCTTGGTGTTTCCTCTCTCCCAATCCCCTTCCTCTTCTTCACCACCTTCCCCAGCCTGCCTGTGATCTTAGCTCACAGCTCCATGATTTTTCTTTGTTTAGCCTAGCCAAGCTTTCTTCCGCCCACCCCGTTCCCGGGAGCACTGAGGAAGTATAACAGAAACACACGAATTGGGATTGTGGTGCCCTTGGGAAGCTGATCATGCTTTGAACCTTAGGAGAGGAGGAGGAGTCCCTTCCTCCTTCCCTCCCGCTCTCCCTGTCAAGCTCCCTGTCAAGCCCCCACATTGTCGAGGACAATGTGCAGGGCGGCAAAGGAGACCAGCGGCCGGTGCTGTTCTACCTGGCAATGTGGGTGTCGGCTCAGTGGGCATCCTGACCAACAGCTGAGCGGCTCCAACTTCTGGCCACCGAACAGCTGAGTCCTCCGGGAGGCAACGTGAGGCCCTGAGGGGTATCGCAAGCTCGTGGGGAGGTGGGAAGGAAAAGAAGATGGAAGAGAGTGAGGCTGCAACAGAGAGCATGGTGTCTCGGTTCCTAAGACCATCGGAAATATGTGTTTTCCGATGGTCTTAGGCGACCCCTGTGAAAGGGTCATTTGACCCCCAAAAGGGTCGCGACCCACAGGTTGAGAACTGCTGATCTAAATGAATGTCATTGATACTATCTTTCTCCAGAGTAGATTCCAGATAATAAACTAATCACCAACTGTAATGACAGCCTTCCTTCCTTCCTTTCCTCCCTCCCTCCCTCCCTTCCCAATGGTTGAGAGACCCATTTTCAATATATCTCCACTTTTAATTTTCTTGGCAGACAATTGTTTCCTTTGCATGCATCATCCCAGGCCTTCTCTGACCTGACAGCAGTCTTCGAAGCAAGGTACCCAGGGAGGGAAACCAAATGATATATATAATCCTTCCTTTTAGCTCTCAGAGAAAAACAGATGTTGCATTATTTCAAGTTATTTCAGGGGTTTTCCATGATTTCCACTCTGGGAAAAATTGTCTATTTTTCAACAGCAAGTATTCTGTGTGGTGTTTTCAAGTACAGTGACCTTACTTGAAATTGTCAGACATTTTTAGCCAGATGTTATTTTATGGAGAACCAAAGACAGACCTCAGGGTTAGATTCACAGAGGCTCTCTTGAGTAAATGAGGTTGACAGCTTTCTTTTTGGACTTAACATGGGAGATATCCTACTTCTAGTGAAAATTGCTGTTAGGGATAGAGTTAGGCTTGCATGAAGTCTGGGCCAATAACATCTGGCTAAGACAATTTTTCCTGTGAGGAAGTTACTCTCTCCTCTCAGAATGGCTGGCACAATCCAACCTCTTAATTCAAACTTTTAAATCATGTCAAACTGCCAGCCCATGGGCCGGATGCGTCATGCCGAAACTACACGCACCCCATTGCCAGAATGGAAAAAAAAGTTGTGATACGTCACGACATGTCATGTGACATTGCGAGTTTGACACCAATGTTTTAGCAGATTTTAATTTGCTCCATGTTGTCAGTCTTTATCAATCCCATTTCCACTCATCTGGCAAGCTGACTTGTAACAGAGCTCAGCCCATGACATGACATTGACATGTGGATAAGGAGTATCATTCTTTGCTCTTGGGTTGGAGACAGTGGTGGGATTCATATATGAGAACAACCAGTTCTCTGTGTGGATGCTGCTTCCGGAAGTCCATTCTGGGTCTGGGCAACAAAAAATTAGCTACCGGTTCTGCCGAAGTGGTGTGATCCAGCCGAATGCCACCATTGGTTGGAGGGGATGTGTGTGAGCATTTATATTACTAGTTAAATTCTGCCAAATTAAACAATGGCTTGCTAATGGGGAAATAAAATGTTATGCAGGGAATCCTTCAAAATGTTAATGTGTGTGAATATTCATATTTTTCAATTCTACACTGCATTCAAAGGAATGAGTTTGAAAACCCATAAAAATAAAATTATTTTTTTTAAAAAAAATTAAAATAGGCTTGTTTTTCTTGTATAAGCTACTCATTTTTAAAAATTCAAAAAAAATGAATGCACAAATTGTAGTTTATTTCCAAAATATTATAATAATAATAATAATAATAATAATAATAATAATAATAATAGTAATAGTAATAATAAAGTTGGAAGGGACCTTGGAGATCATCTAGTTCAACCCCCTGCTCAGGCAGAAAACCCTACACCATTTCAGACAAATGGCTGCCCAGTCTCTTCTTAAAAACTTTCAGTGTTGGAGCATTCACCGCTTCTGGAGGCAGGCTGTTCCACTGGTTAATTGTTCTGTCGATAATGATGCCCTGGGTCCTAGGAATTGGACTAGAAGGCCTCCAAGATCCCTTCCAACAAGTGCCCTGTTTCAGTTAACTGGGATTTGTCCTCTGCTAATCATCGGGAAATCCATGGGGACTCCATTGCTGAAAATGCACAGAAGAGCACAACTGCCATGCTCAAATTTCTCAAGACAAGAAGTGACCACTATATACTTACAACACTCAAACTATTCAAAGTCAAGCCAATAGCACAAGTTCTCTACAGAGCTCAGCTGGGTCCCTTCTACAATTTTGCACCATTACAACATGTTCAATCCACATTTCTAACATTGGCCCTTAAGGTCCTCAAATGTATTTCTAATGCCTCCCTGAGATTGGAGCCAGGCTCATGAAAATGAAGGCTAGAGTGGAGATGACCATACTCAATTACTGTCTCAAATTCTCCTTTTTTCCCTTTGGCTTGCTTTACGACTATGAGAGATGATTTTTAATCTACATTTTAAAAAAAGGCCACTGCAACTAAAGCCTCATCCTTGAGCTTCTCTACAAGTCTTCTACTGAGCACAAGATATGATCAGGCCAAGCTCTCATTAAACAGCATATAGCAGACACAGAGCCCCAACTGGATCTAGCCAGGTCCCCAACTTTTATTGTCAACGAATCTGATAGATTCTCTGTCTCTAAGACTGACTGGCATTTTTCTTAGTGCAGTAATCTCTCTTTTCAACTCCTCCCCAAGATAGCTGCTAAACAGTAGGAAGATTTTTCTCTCCTGCTGACAATCTGCCTATTTTGCTGCCAAAGCTGGTTCTTTGGCAACCCTGCTCCCTGGATTTGAATGGGAGCACTTAAAAATGACCCAAGAAGGTTTTCAGATGGCCATGGACCCACCCAGGACAAGGAATCTTGAGTTCACTTAAGCATGTCTGAGTTTCAACTACACTTTTTAAAGCTCCTGTTTTGCTTTGCTTATTATCTTTAAAAGTTGACAGGCTGGTTGAATGGTGATTTATTTTAACCCCCTGCTGGATTTTATCTGTTTTTTTTTTCCTTGTTCTTTTCCTTTTAACTTTTTGGCTATTTTGAATAATGTTTTTCTTCTGTAAGGAAAACATGGCATGTGTTAGAGTAGCGGAAGTGTTTGGACTTTGATTTACATCTATAGTGGACTTTCACTACACTTTGAGATTATTTTTTCAAAAAATGTTTTTATCGTGGACTGAAACACCTAAAAATATTCTCCCTGGGAATGTGATCATTAATATAGTAGAGAGATGACAGGTTAGTAATGTGTAAACAAAATTAAAAATTTGAAAAATTTGAGGGGCCTGTTTTATAAGGGGTGGGAAACCAATATTGTTAGAATATATTTATCTCTATTTAACTAGGAGGGACAATATGTGTATATACGTTTGTAGGGGGGGTTGCACTTTTTTAATGTTTTGTTTCTTTTGGAGTTTTTTTTGTTCCTGTGAATTTTCTTTTTTGAAATTTTGTATTTTAACTTTGTTTGAATAAAAATAAAAATCATTATGAAAAATAGTAATCCCTCTTTTCATTTTTCTCATCAGTTTATCATTTCTTTCATTGCCTCTCTCTCTCTTTTTGAATGTTTCTTTAAAATTTGTTTAAATAAATAATTACAATAATTTTAAAGGGATGGCCACTATGAAATCTACATTCCACATTTTTTTCCCAGAAAAGACCCTTGTAATCGAACTTCTAAGGGCCCTCAACAAAGAATATGAATGCTTATCTGGAGATCTCAGGTAGCCTCAGGGAATGATGATTTTTCTCCTTTCTTTCCTTTTTTTTTTTTTAGATGAAACTCCCTTTGGAGGAATTAAGAAAAAATGTTTGCTATGATACCAATCTTCCACCTTTAGACCATCAAGAGGAAAGACTCAGTATAAATGCTTCCACGGGGAATGGAAAGAACCTAATTTAAAGAAGTATTGTTCTTTACCTTACTCAGAAAAATACAAGGCTCCCATATAGGCTGCTCTGTTGGCATGTCCAAAGGACATAGCAGGAAAATATACTCAGCTTCATTCAGGTAAGATTGGCACATCTGGGAATAATTTAGAGAGTTGTCAAACAGATTTTATGACTATTGCAGTTATATCTTGACCAATGCTCACATATCTCATTTTGTCACCTGAGGTGGAAAGAAAGCTGTTCACAGCTTTGAGGAAAGAGGACAGTAATCTGAATCTAAGTAGAGATGGCAATGCACTGATGAGATGAGTTTTAGGAAAAATCTCAGCTGAAAATATTTTGGCTGTACAAGGGGAGTTAGAGTAGTTCCTTTCTGCAGCTCCACAGGCTGGAAATGAGATCACTCACTGATGCCAGGAAGATGAGTGGACATTCTCTTTAGGCCACAAGAAAGATCTTTCAGTGAGGCCCACAGCTTACACAACCTTATTAGGAACCCTGCTTTGTTTATTGCTTGTATTTAAGAGATTATTAAGAATTATGTTGGCTCTGGAAATATAAGGAAATTTTCAACTTGGGGATCAGGATATTTTGGAGAACAGAAGGAAGGGAGAGATTTAGGCATGGAGTAAATGACACTAAGGAATTGAAATTTGGAAGAGATTTAGGAGAGATTTAGTAATTGATGCTAACTAAGGAATTGAACTTACAATGCAGGTAAGCTGCACAAGGATAAACCCTGAAAGGTTTCCTAGCAAGTGATGAAAAAGAAACAAGTTAAGAAGAAAAATTGACAAAAGTAAATAATTTAGGAATTGCTTTGGAAAATATTGGGAGCATTGGGAATATATTTGAAGATATTTGATGCCAGAATCTTGATAGTAAGGTTGAAACTACTGAGTCCAATAATAATACTGTCAAAATAAAGGGAATAATAATAGTGTCAAAATAAAGGGAAGTTTGAAAATGAGAGATGGGAACATGTTCAGATATTAATTTGATGCCACATTTGTGGTTGCAAGCTCCTCAGATTCGATGATTGTGGATAAATAACTGAGAATCTTCTTTGAATGCTGACTTTGGATAGGAGGACCTTCATCCTTACACTTTTTTTCATTTTCCAGAATAGAATTCATTATTTACCTGTCCTTTGTGAGGTGCTGATAACCATAGTTCAGATCAAATTGTTAGAAATAATTCCCCCACCTCTCTGTTTTTTGCAGACTCGGAATATATCCATTGTTGTAAAACTGGGCCATTGGATCTGACCAGGTATTTATCCATGTCCTTTTCCTCACTTGTACTTTATCAGTGGGAGGCCATACCAAATCCAGGGTTCCCCAAACTCATGAGAGTGGCTTCATCTTGTAAGGAGCTCAAAGTCTTCCATGCCTCCCCACCCAGCCATGAAGCCCCACCCAGCCATGAAGCCTATACTCTGCTGCTGCAAGAGTACCTCTAGGTCCATCTCAGTCCCCCCCAAAAATCTACTAGGATGATTTTGTTTGTCTTAATTTACAATACTATATATTGCTATATTATAAATTCTTGTTCCTTCATTTCATTTTTTCCTTTGTGGCCCCTACAAAATTAAGCTTTTAAAACTGTTGGGATGCTTTACTATATTGATTTAAAAGTGGTTTTATAACACAGAAGACGGAATGCAGTGATATGTCTCTGAAGCACAGAAGTGGTAGAAGCCCTCATCTCGGGGTGGAGAACATGGACATTGTATTCCCTTCAGGTCCCTCCTCTCATTTTCATGCCCTTGACTGATTCTCTCCTTTCTCCAACCTGAGCCTTTCCCTGCTCAGGATTACTCATCTGTTTCAGCCATCTGAGCTCTTTACACAGACTTAGTTAGAATTGCTGAAACCCTTCAACAGAAGAGTTGGAGATACAGGCATTGAGACAGATATCCTATCGCAATCCTTAACCCAGTCCCTTCTTTGCACCTCTCCAGCTGTTTTCTTGTTCTGTTTTCTCTGAGCCATTTAGCTCTTTTTGCAAACATACTGAAATTATGGTTGGCCACATCCTCCTCCAGTTTTTTTAGATTGGAGCAGGCAAATTTGTTCCTTTATTTGAGTCCTTCCCAAAGACAGATGTACAGATGTTGTTCTTTAATAATATCATTAAAGATATTATTTAATAATATCATTAAAGATATTGTTGCAGGTTATAAGGGATGTTCCAAGTAAAGCTGTTTTTTGCAGTTGACTGATGATGATTTTGTCAGTGCCAATAGTGTTCAAGTAATGCACTGGATACTTTGGAATCGGACTTAAGGAACCTATTATTATTGGCACTATTTTTTTGCTTTCTTTTGCCACAGTTGTACTACTTCTATTTGCAGCTCTTTATATTTTGTAATTTCTTCCAATTCTTCTTCTTCTATTCTGCTGTCTCCAGGTGCAAACAACATCAATGCTCACTATCTGGATTTCATGGTCTTCCTTATTAATAATGTTAAGTGCAGGCCATTGTGTGGCAGATGTTTGCCCATTTGAATCCTAAAGTCCCAGAGCACTTCAGTGACTTTAATAATTTTCTATTATTTTGTCTATTTTGTAGTGCCACCAGTTCTTGCTTGCAGGCAAATGGTATTTCTTGCAGAAGCCCTGCTGGTGCAGTGGTTAGAATGCAGTATTGCATTCAAACTCTGCTCACAGTCTGGAGTTCGATCCTGACTGGGTCTAGATTGACTCAGCATTCCATCCTTCCAAGATTAATAAAATGAGGGCCCAGATTGCTGGGGGCAATATGCTGATTCTGTAAACCACTCACAGAGTACTGTAAAGCAATATGGATCAGTATACAAGTCTAAGTGCTATTGCTGTTATTATTTCAATGCACTGTTATTGCTACTTTCTCATGCTATTGTTTGTAATCAGTCTATGTAATCTTCTTGCAGCAGCTAAATAAATAGTCCACTGTTGCTTCGGGTTTTTTTGTTTTGTTTTGTTGTTGTTTTTTAAGAGATGAGATTTGCTATCTGTTGCTGTCTTCTCTATTCTGTCTTTGTATGCATTTGTTCATATATATATATATATATGTATATATATATATATATATATATATATATGCGATTAAAAAGGTTAAAAATGTGAACCCTAGGGATATTCATAATAAAATATAAAAATGAACACTAGGGTAATAAAAACTATAGAAGTTTTTAATAGGTTAAAACTATAAAAGTTTTAAAAAGCGCCAAGCTTTCGCCGTCACCTGCCGGCATCCTCAGGGCTGGCGTGCCAGAGAATGAGAAAGTCTTTTTATAGGTGTACCGAGGTTTGCGCTCGGCTCCTTGATCTTGTTACGGGGCCTGATTGGTTCAGCCGTGTGTAGTTGGCTTGCGCTTTTTTTCTCTTCTTAGTTGTATTTTTATCCTCGTCCGTCTCCAGTTCTCCCAACCTCAGATTAGCTGAATGGCAATTCCAGTTATTTCGGTTGCTTTCATGTTCCGATCTCCCCTCAGGCTTAGGTGATGGTGGACAATCCAAGTTCCTTTCTCCACCCCGTTCTGTCCGGTTGTTATGTTTAGAGTCCCATATATTTCCGGTCTCAATGCTTTCGGTTTTAATATGTTTATCATCCTGATAGTCCCGTAAATTGTTACGAGTCTGGTGTAGCGTGGGAGGGTATTCCGCATGGTGGAGGGATCGTCTCTTGTTCGTTGTCATGCCCAGCTGTCTCGCGCGTGTCTTACTCCGAGTGCTCAATCCTGGGGGTGTGTGCACAGCCATCGAGGCGCGTCCCTCCTGGTTACAGTGTTCTTCTTCAGTTCTCCCCTTTTTTACCTTGTTGAAAGCGCTCGCGTATGTTCTATGAGAGTCCTCAGGATCGTCAGGTAGGGGGTATGACAGCTCGATCTCTCGCCCCTTGTCGCTCTCCGGTTTTCCTTCCTCCTCTCTAACAGTATGTAGGGGGTCATCATCCACCACCTCCCGTGGTTTGTCCTCGTAGGAGCTGATCGTTCCAACTGCGTGGGGGGGTCTTCTCCTCCTTTTCCGACCAGCTACGATGTTTCTTTTGGTGTGTGGGCAGGCTATTGCGTTTGGTGATTCATCCGCATTTCCACCTGCCGTATCTTCCCTCATCTCCTCTTTGTAGCCGGGGGTCTGGACCTTGGTTCCTGTCCCTCCCCTGATCTTCTGGGATTGCGGCAGTCCCGCGGGGATGGTCGAGGTGCCTCGCGTTTGTTTCCCTTCTTTCGAATTGCGCCTTGGTTCGTTGGGCAGTGCGGGTGCTACCCAGATTGTTATAAGGCCGTCGGGGGTGTTGCCGCTTATTATTAGCACTCCATGATCTTAAGGTTAGATAGGATGGGCATAGGTCAATGTGCCTATTAATAGACTTGCTGTCTGAGAGCCATGCCTCTCTAAGAAGGCGGCCCCCTTTGGTGTTATCGTTCGCCAATACACTGACGTCACTAAAGTTAAACTTATGGCCTAGATCCACCATATGGGCCCATATTTGGGAGTGACAGTCCCTCCTTCTCACTGCTAATTCGTGCTCATGGACCCTGGTCTTAATGCGTTTAGCAGTCTCCCCAGTATAATTGCATTGGCAGTCCGTACAGTCAATCCTATAGACGGCTGCTGATCTTTCTGTACTGGGGAGCGGGTCCTTAGGGCGCATTATGGCCGCTCGCAGTGTTTGGTTGGGTCTATGGGCCACCTGTATTTTATGTGGTGCCAGGATCCTAGCTGTGGCTTCCGATACATTATGGATATAGGGGAGGGCAATACGTATGGTGGCTTGAGGCACGGGTTCTTGAGATGCAGGGTTACTCCGGAGCCCAGGTGGTCTCCTGAACTGATTAATGATTTTAACCGGGTAGCCGTTGCATCTACATATTCGGAAGAGGTGGTTTCTCTCTTCTTTTTTGGCTTTGACGGTGCTGCAGTGTGTCTCCACTCGTTTGAATAGCGTCCTGACACAACTGGCTTTATGGGCCATCGGGTGATTACTCCTAAAGTGGAGGATCCTCTCTGTACACGTTGGTTTTCGGTATACCCTGGTAGCTAGACATCCATCCACCTGGCGCTGCACTAGTACATCCAAAAATGCTAGACTGCCCTGATCTTCTTCCTCCATGGTGAATTGGATGTCCGGGTATACCGAATTCAGGATGCCCATAAAGTCAGTTTTGTGTCTTTTCTTAATGACCGCAAACGTATCGTCCACATAGCGGGCCCAAAATTTTGGTTGATGTTGGGCCATCGCTATGTGTTCCAGCTGCTGGAGTACCATCTCTGCAACCACACTAGAGATCGGCGACCCCATAGGTGTTCCTTTAATTTGCTCATATATAACCCCCTGGAAGGTGAAGTAGGTGTTAAGACATATTTCCATGAGCTTTACCAAGTCCTCCGTTTGTAGGGAGTCCTGGAATTGCCCATGGTCTCCTTGGTTAAGCCGGTCTCTTAGGACCTCAACCGCAAGTTTCTGCGGGATAGACGTAAATAGAGAAACTACGTCAAAGGAGACCATGAGCTCATCCTCTTCTACCTTCAGGGTTTTTATTCTATTGAGGAATTCTTCTGCCGATCTTACGGTGGTGTCGCTGTTACTTGCCAAGTGGCCGATACGGACGCTCAGCCACTTGGCAAGTTCAGAGATAGGGGTACCCCTAAATGCTACAATGGGGCGGAGGGGGACATTGGGCTTATGTATTTTTGGTAAGCCATAGAATCTAGCGAGTGCTGAGTCACCAGGGCGGATCCTTCTCAGCACTTCTTCCCCCATCCTCCCCTTACGTTTGAGGTCATCTAGGAGCTTATTAGTACGGTTTCTCAAAGTGGTGGAGGGATCTTTACTAACCACTCTATAGGCAGCACCGTCTTGGAGTAAATCCAATGCCTTTCTTACGTATGCCTCTTTGTCTAAAACGACAGTTTTTATTACCCTAGTGTTCATTTTTATATTTTATTATATATATATATATATATATATATATATATATATATATATATATATATATCTCAAGTTTTTATTAATTTTTTCATACAATTCAGTATTCAACAGACATGTTGTCTGAGTTTATCACTCACTAATACAAATTTAATTCCTAATCCTTTATTCTTTTCTCCAGCCATTGATAAAATAAGTCCCAAGTTTGAAAGTATTCATTTCTTTTTTTTCTTTCAACCTCAAAGTGAGTCTGTCCATTTCTGCACATTCTAGTATTTTTTTAATTATTTCTTCTTCTGGTGGTATTTCTTCATTTTTCCACTGTTTTGCGAATATAATTCTTGCCACTGTTATCACATGTAGAATCAAGTATATACTTTGTTTATCAATCTTTTCTGGCATTATACCTAATAAAAAAAGTTCAAGTTTAAAATCTATGTGTTTTCCCAACATCTTTTCTAGCCAAGTATGCATTTTTGTCCAATACCTCTTTGCTTTAAGACATGTCCACCCTACATGATAATAAGTACCTGACTTGTGTTTGCATTTCCAACATCTATCTGACATATTTTTAAACATTTTTGCTAATCTTGCTGGTGGCAAGTGCCATCTATAAAACATTTTAGTAGTAATAATAATAGTAATAATAAAGTTGGAAGGGACCTCGGAGGTCATCTAGTCCAATCCCCTGCTCAGGCAGGAAACCCTATAGCATTTCAGACAAAAGGTTTATTTTATATCTTATATAAAATATATAAAATTTTATATAAGTTTTCCTTGTAGGAAGTTGATATTGTCAATTTATAGTTTCTTTCCCACAAGTTTTGCCATTTTTCTAAATCTATATTATATCCAAAATTCTTTGCCCATGTTATCATTGTTTCTTTAACTTGTTCATTTTCCATTTTCAAATTCAATAAAAGGTTATAGATTTTCTTAATTAATTTCTCATCAGAGGTTAATAATGTCTATCAAACAAGGTCTGCTCTCTATAAAATCCATACAGTTTAACATCTTTATTGTATCTAACCTGCATTTGTAAATATGCCCACCATGATAGATCAATACCCTAACTTTCCGTCTCTTGTTTAGATTTTAGATTCCCTTCAGAATTTAGAATATCTCCATATGTCCATATTTTCTCGAAACTGACTAAGTTTGGATGTACAAATGCTTCCACTGTTAAAAGCCATCCCGGAATTTTCAAGTATATTTTACACTTTATTTTTTCCCCAGTTAGTAATAATGTGTTTCTTATATAATGGTTTTGAAAATACTTATGAATTTTATTTTTCCCATACCATAAGAAAGTGTGCCAACCAAGTTATAAATCATGTCCCTCCAAATATAACAACCTTTTATTTCTAAGAGTTATCCATTCTTTTACCCATGTTAGTACAGATGTTTGATAGTATAAAACCCACTCTGTATGGATTTGTTCTTAACGCTTGGTCTTCTGCAGCGAGAATTAGCCCCTTTGCCTCTTTCTTCAATTTAAAGGCTACTTGTTTGTTTATGATTGGAATCTAACTGTAGATTGCCCACTCATCATCATCATGATCATCATGATCATTATGATCATTTATGAGACCAACCATTATAATAATTAATAAAGATCTGGCAATGGATAAGAGAATGCTCTTATGCTATGGATTGGTGCCAGTCCATGGACCGGGGGTTGATCTGCTTTAGGTATTGATCCAAGGGCTCCAATCACAATTGGTATAACAACAATTTCTTTTTCCATAGGTGTTCAATTTTGATCTAATTTTTCCAGTTGTTTCTCCTCAATCTTAGCATCACCTGGTAAAGTCACTTCAATGAACCAAACTTTCTTCTTTTCAAACTTTCTTCTTTTCATGAACCAGATGCCTCTCTGCCTGGATAACAAAAGTCCTATAAGATCCTACCCACTGATTTTCCAAAATGCTTTCAACTTGATGGTTCTAGCAGTTATTCATGCAGTACATTCAAATCCAAACCTCTGGGCCAAGTTTTCAATGAAGAATTTTGGCAGTTATTATTTAATATTATTACTAAAAATTAATTATGTTCATCACACAGTCAGTCAGATGTTCAGACTGGATTTGGCATTTTTGACTGACAAATTTAGTCTTTGCCAAAGACCAGGGATAGGCAGATGTGAATGTTTGCCAGTATTGTTGTAGTTATTGTTTAAACATGTATGCTGATTGTTCTGATTCACAATAACATTTGTTTGTTTGTTTTATATGCTAAGACCAGTTATTAAAAAAGGTTTGCAAAACACTTAAAATCATGTGCACCTAATGCAATGAGAATGTAATGCTATTATTTTCATGTAAAGCCAATATTCCATCAAAGTTTACAAAATGTTCAAAAACCTAAAGAAAAATCAGTTAGGGGAAAAATTAGCAATAGCATATCAAATATGCTATTTTCAAAATATCCTTCAAAGTTATAGCATGAATGCATTATTCAGGGCCCAAAACTGCAACACCTTATTTGTTTTTCCTCTTGGTTTTCCTCTCTATGCAGGTCATGGGAAAAGATGGAAGTTGAAAACAATCGTACATTGGTTACTGATTTTGTGGTGGTTGGGTTTACAACAGACCCATTTCTACGCACAGTTCTCTTTGTGGTATTCTTGGCCTCATACATCCTAACGCTGACTGGGAATCTGGGCCTCATAGCCCTGATCTATCTGGACTCCCACTTGCACACACCCATGTACTTCTTTGTGGGCAGCCTTTCCTTCCTGGATGTCTGGTATTCCTCAGTCTATAGTCCTCGGATCTTATATGATTGTTTGTCCAAGAACAATCGCATTTCCTTAGCGGGTTGTGCAGCCCAGTTCTTTTTCTCTGCTGGATTGGGCTGGAGTGAATGCTTCCTATTGGCCTTCATGGCCTATGACCGCTTTGTGGCCATCTGCAACCCACTCCTTTATGCCACTGCCATGCCCAAGAAGCTCTGTGTCCATCTAGTGGTGGGGTCTTATGTAGTGGGGTTTGCCAATGCTATTGCACACACTGGTAACACTTTCCGTCTACATTTCTGTGGTAGTAATATCATCAACCACTACTTTTGTGATGTGCCACCACTTTTGAAAATGGCATGTGCTGACAAAAGAGTTTATGAATTCATCCTGACTGCTCTCATTGGTTTCAGTTTGCTGGCAGCCACTGCTGTCATCGTGAAATCCTACGTTGGTATTGTGGCAGCCATTATTCGCATCCGTTCCGCTGCAGGGAGACGCAAGGCTTTCTCTACTTGCTCGGCTCACCTTGTCTCTGTCTCCCTCTTCTATGGCTCCATGCTCATCATATACTCCACACCTAACTCTTATCACACTCCAAATTGGGACAAGGCAACTGCGTTGTTCTATACAGTAGTCAACCCTCTGGTCAACCCTTTGATTTACAGCTTACGCAACAAAGATGTGAAGGCAGCCTTCAAGAAAGTCTGGGGGAGATTCACAGCACACAAATAAATGGCAATCTCCTTCTTTAGGGTAGACTGCAGATAATGAAATTAACCTCTAGGCTTCAATGTCTGCCAGCCAACCAGCCAGTTTCCTCCTTCCCCCATTTGCTTCCTTCTAAGAGAAAGTGGAGAAAGTCAGGAGACCAGAATTAACTTCAAAGATCAGCAGTCATCCCGAGGCTCATAATCCCCATGCATACTTTTCTTCATCAGCAATTTCATTCCATATGTATACCTTCCCAATCTTTTCCTAACCTAGCAGCATCCTGACATTTTATTTCATATTTTTAAATTATTTTAGCAACTTTTAACTTGCTTTGTGGTGTTGATGATGTAGTTACCATTCTCGCTATAGTCCGGCATTGTGAGCCACTAACCATGTTTAAACCCTCCTTGGTTGGACGTTTATATTCATTCCAAATTCTCATAATAGCATGTCGAAGAAAATGATTTTTAAAATTTACATTAATATTGACTTTATCATACTATAAATACCATGCCGCCCAAATCACAAGTCATGTCTTTCTAACTGTAAAAGCTTTCTATTTTTCAGCAACATCCATTCCTTCACCCAAACTAAACAACAGCCTTCAAATATAATCTCAAATCAAATAAACCCAATCCTCCTCTTTTTTTTTTTTTTACATCTAATAACACCTTATATTTCAGTCTCAAATATATACCTAAATTTGTGTGGAAGGATGTGAGTCCTGGACTTTGTACCAATGACACATTAAATACCTGGAGAAATTTCACTTGCATCCCCTCCACTCCATCTTTGGCACTTGTTGGCCACATTGTGTCTTCAACCTATCATCTTGATTATCCAGAATGAATGACCACTAAATGCCTCACCACTATGCACTGTAGTGTACTAAAACTGGGAAGAGACCTCAAGATCATCCATGCAAGCACTACAATGACACTATAACGGAAGCCCTATATCTCTGTGACATCCAGCCAAAGAAACTAGAAGCTTTGGCTGCTGACAGAACTCTGCTGTGCTATGAAGCCTCCACCAGTTTTGAAGACAAGCAAAGCCAAAAATTGTGTGAGACATCACAGAATAACACCTAGAGTTACTACAGCAATAGAGTAGCCTTTTGTGCTAAACTATGCATTTCCAGGTTGGGACTGCAGAGCCATCTCCACAGATCCATAGATGAATTCCATAATAATATCTTCTTGGAACCCAAAAGACTACCCATACAAATGTTTTGTGTGTAACAATACAAACAGCAGTTTTTCTTGTTGGGCATTCATGTGACCAAAAAACCTACCAATTTAACATCCCCTCCCCAGCTTATAAAATAAAACCTTTATGGTTACATGTTGCTGTTTTCTTCCTGGCTGTGGGTGAACTTCCTAAGTCTGCCCTTTCTGTTCTTCACAATCATGGTGTCTAACTGTAAATCACCACCCCATAACACATCAACAATGTTCTACAAGAATCTTCCAAGGAGACACAGTGATTTAGTGCTGATGGTTCAGGAAACTCATCATCTTTAAATCACCCTAACAGAAAACAGAGTTTGATTCACAGCTGAAATCACATGCAGTTGATGCCCAGATATGCCTGGACATATTGTCATCCCAGCTCTTACCACCTTACTGGCTGACATGTGACAGATTTCAGCCCATGCCCAGAATCATGACCTTTATATATCTAGACACCTGGATAAGGAGTAGCATGATTTGCTTTTGGGTTGGAGGGGATGTGTGTGAGTTGCCTCTGAAATGGTGTCAAATTAAACCATGGTGTGCTAGTGGAGAAATGAAAACTGATACAAGTATTGCTTCAAAATATTTATCTGTGTGAAATTCATATTTTGCAATTCAACTTTCCAAAACTTACTATTTGTGTGTGTTTATACATACATACATACATACATACATACATACATACATACATACTGTCATGGTTCCAAAAGATGAAACTCTTCAAAGAACTTTGAGGCATTGTTTACCTTAAAGAATCTTTATTCGAGCAGCATAGCTTTGGCACGTACATAATCGAAGTCAAAATCTGACTTCCCCTCCCTTCAGCACATAGATCAAAGCACAATTCCCTCCTACAACTAACGGTCATAAATCACATTCTCCAATTAGTTTGAAATGCTGGCTTTCCACCCAGTTCTTTATCCAGTCATGCCTTATCATCTTTTATTACAATATTATACTCTAACTAACTCCCATCACATTCCTCCCCCTCCCCCAGTATCATCTAATTCTAAGAATAAAGCATAAGAAAGAAAAAGGCTGCATCTCCATAGGTTGTCAAAGCAAGAACATCCAATGTTAGCAGTGTTGACACATACAGGTATACATGTTTCGAAGTTATTTTTTTCTGTGTTAAAGGGAGCTTGTTTAAAAACCCATAAACATAAAACTATTTTTAAAAGATTTAAGCAAAGCTTAATGTTTCTTGCATTTATGCTACTATTTTCTTTTTTAAAATTGCACAATTACTGCACAGGAGTTTATTTCCAAAATATAATGAAGCTTAAGAGTTCTAGGTGCTGGACTAGATGGCCTTCAAGGTCTCTTCTGATCTTTTGATTCTCTGATTCTGTTAATCATCCACTTTAGCCAAACTCCATGGAACACACCTGCAATGGAAATTCCATGAAATAAGCAAACATTACTTGCAGAGGAGCAGGGTGGCTTTAGGGAAGGCTGATCTACCTTTAGTGTGTACATTAATGTGTACATCTCATAGAGAAATACTCCCTCTGCAACACAACATCCCTATGTGTCACTTTCAAAGACTTTAAAATTGGAGATCTCGTCAATTGTGCGACATCTACTTTTTTTTTAATATGTACGCTTCATGAAGGGATCTTGGTCAAAGTCAGAGTAATCCCCAGGACCACCTCTCCAAGGGCATCAGAACTAAGAAAGATGTCAAGCAAGGATATTATTGTCCCCACTCCTATTTAATTTCTGTATCAACTCCATGGGGGACCTCCTCAGCATGATTATCCCCCCCCCCCAAAGAAAAAACATGTTGGAAGACACATTTCTGTTCTACTCAGGCCACACAGCGTTAGTTTCAAGAATACCTATTGGCCTTAAAAGACCATTGAAAGTACTAGCAAAATATTGCAGGGAACATTATCTAGTACTCAATTATCAAAAAAATCAAAATCATGGCATTTGCCAAAAGGCCTAAGAGCCACTCCTGGAGTTTATATAAGCAGAAGACTGAGCAGATCTCCTGTTTCAGTTATCTGGAAGTTGTCCTTCACTCTGCTAGCAGTAGGAAAACCCAGGGGGTCATGACCATAAAAAGATTTGACTGATTCATTCATTATAGTTAGTTTGGAACTGAATCCATGTAGGTTTAGAACCAGAGCTTCACATTTGGTTAATCATTCACTCTAAAATTGACTTGAGGGTTTCTTTGTACACTATTTTTTCCCCTCTTTTCTCTTCAGTTTGTTATTGCTTCTTTGTTTTCTTTCATTCTCTCTCTCTCTCTCTCTCTCTCTCTCTCTCTCTCTCTCTCTCTCTCTCTCTCTCTCTCTTTGTATCTTTGTATTTTTCTGTAAATAATTATAATAATTTTAAAGAGATGATCATTATGAAGTGTTTTTTTTTTAACAGAAAACACCCTGAGACAAGCGATAATGAAGCTTAACTTCTAAGGGCCCTCAACATGGAAGAAGTTTGCTTCTCTGGAAATCTCAGGTAGCCTCAGGGAATGGTGTTTTTTCTTCTTCCTGTATCTTTAGACAAAACTCCCTTCAGAGGAATTAAGAAAAAAACTTTTGGCATGATACTGATGTTCCATCTTCAGCTCATCAGAGGAAAGACTCAGTCTTAAATACTTCCACAGGGAACTAGGGCTTCTTAATTTGAAAGAATATTATGCTTAATTCGAAGAAATATTGTATTTAGGAAAACAGAAGGCTCCCATACTGGCTGATCTGTCAACTTGTTTAATCAGCACTAAGTGGAAAGATACACTTCACTTCATTCAGGTATGTTTGATACCTTTAGATGCCAGTTACGGAGATTCTATTATTCCTCCAGGTAAGATGTGATCAATTGTTTTATCTGGTCCTTTCTGTCGCATCTGAATGCAAAGGCTGTTATACCGTGTTCAAACCCATTCCTTCTTGCCCTTCTGTGAATAGATGTTCCAAGTTGCTCAGAAATAATTCACTTTTCCAATTTCTCCTTCCATCCAGAAGTAGCTCGATTCATTGTGTGCATGGCAGTCAGTTCTTCCAGCCCTGTCTCTGACAGGAGCCTTAGAATGGGAGTTGAAAGACAAAGTCCAGGTAATCCTCTGAGAAAGGACAGGAAAATTTCACAGCAATGTTTGAGAGGTTTAATTATCTAAAGAGCTGACTTCTATGAACTGGAAAGAGAGCTGTTCACACCTCTGAGAAGGGGGGATAGTAATCTGGATTTTAGCAGAAGATGGAACTGCCTGATCAGATGAGTGTCAGGTGAGTGTCAGGAAGTACCTTGGTGAAAAAGGGGAATGAGGACAGATCATTTTTGTTGCTCCTCTGGCTGGAAATGGGGTCACTCATTGAAACCAGGGAGTGGACATGCTCTTTAGGCCACACAAGAAAGGTCCTTCAGTGAGGCACACATATTACACAACAGCACCGGGCACACTCCTTTCTTTATTACTTTTATTTAAGAGATGTGCTTTCAAGGGCAACCTGAATGGCAGACAGAGTGGAGCAGCCACCTTCAGGCATCCAATTTGGAATTCTCATCAAAACAGAAAATCTTTTTGCTTTTTAATTTTTGTCACATTTGGAGGAATCCTGTTTGGATTTTATTTTTTTAACAGGAGTGTGTCTGGTTATACTAGTGAAATTTGGAAATGGAAGCTGCATGCCAATTATACATTTTGGGGCTAATCAAAGAGAACAACTTATTCAAAGAGCAGTGCATGGACTAGGGCTGATATGATAGCAGTGTTCCAATATTTGAGGGGTTACCACAACGATGAGGGGTCAAGCTATTCTCCAAAACACCTGAAGGCAGGACAAGAAGCAACGGATGGAAACTAATCAAGGAGAGAAGCAACCTAGAACTAAGGAGAAACTTCCTGACAGAACAATTAATTGGTGGAATGACTTGCCTTCAGAACTTATGAGTGCTCCAACACTGGAGCTTTTAAAAAAGAGATTGGACAACCATTTGTCTGAAATGGCATAGGGTTTTCTGCTTGAGCAGGGGGTTGGACTGGAAGAACTTCAAGGTCCCTTCCAACCCTGTTGTTCTGTTATTCGGTTGTTCTGTTGTTCATGTCAGTGAAACCAAGTTGTAGCTATAGAGCTCTGGAAAACCCAGGAATTGTATCACTGAGAAAAGCTTCAGAGAAGATAGAAGAAATAATATTTGCAGTTTACCTGTCTTGTGTGAGATGTTGATATAATTATTGTTTAGATCAAATTGGATCAAATTAATAGATATTATTCCCCTTCCCCCCCCCCAGCCAGTTTTTACAGACAGAGAATACTTCCATGCTGTAAAACTGGACTATTGGATCTGACCACATTCCTTTTTTCAGTTGTATTTTATCAGTGGGAGGCCATGCCAAATCCAGGGTTCCCCAAACACATAAGAGTTGCCTCATCTTGTCAGGAGCCCAAAGTCTTTCATGCCTCCCCTCCCGACCCTGAAGCCATCCACTTGGCTATTCTGTGTTACAGCACAAGGGCCTCTCGGCTTTGTTGTTACTTTTGCCATTGTGCAAGTAATCATGAGATTTTCTTCTCCATCCCAGTCCTATAAAACCTACTAGGATGATTTTGTTTGTCTTAATTTGGGATACTACATATTACTTTGTTATAAACTCACATTCTTTCATTTTTCTTCCTTTGGTGCCCCTACAAAATTAAGCTTTTAAAAGGGATAGTTTACTGTATTGATTTAAAAGTGGTTTTATAACACAGAAGGCAGAAGGCAGTGATATGTCTCTTAAGCCCAGAAATGGTGGAAGCCTTCAGCCTCAGGATGCAGAACATGGACTTTGTATTCCCTTCAGGTCCAAATTTCTCCTCTCATTTTCATGCCTTTGATTGATTCTCTCCTTTGTCCACCTTGGGCCTTTCTCCGCTCAGGATTACTCGTCTGTTTCAGCCACCTGAGCTCTTCACACAGAGATGGTTAGAATTGCTTCACTAAAGAGAAGCTTTCCCTCAGCAGAGCTGGGCATGCAGGCACTGAGGCAGGGATCCTATTACAGTCCTTAATGCAGTCCCTTCTCTGTGAATAATCTACATTTAGATTCAAGTCCTACCCAAGAGCTAACCAAGTAGCATTTAACAGTATAAGTAGTTCTTAGCAAGGTGGCTTTTGAAAAATTAGGATATTCAGGTTTCCCATACCTCCAATTCAATATTTCCAGTTACTGAGGGAATCCTTTAGGGCTCCAATTATAATTGGTATAACAACAGATTTCTTTTTCCATAGTGGTTCAATTTCAATCTTTCCCGTTGTTTCTCCTCCATCCTAGAATCATCTGAAAGTCACATCAATGAACCAAACCTTCTTCTTTTCAATAACTTTTTATATTAGGCACATCATGGACCAGATGTCTGTCTGTTCAGATCTAAAAAGTTCCAACAAGATGCTTTCCCAAAGCCTTTTCAACTTGACAGTTCTAGTAGGTTTTACTCAGTACGTTCAAATCCAAACCTCTGGCCACATTTCTAATGAACAATTGTGGCAGTTGTTACTATTTAATAATATTGTCATTTATAATTAATTATGGTTCCTTGCACTGTCATCCAGCTGTTCAGACTGGATTAGCCATTTTTCTCCACATATCGAATCCTTCCCAAGGACCTAGAGGAGGCAGATGTTGATGCTTTACAGTGTTAAAGGTATTGTCACTGGATGTAAGCTCTTCGGAGTAAAGCTGCCTTTTGCTTTTAACTGGTGATTTCCTCAATGCCAGTGACATTCAAATGGGGCTCCAGTTGTTTAGGGGTTGCAACCAAGTTGCCTTTGTTTTGTTTTGCCACAATTGTTCTATTTCTACTTGCAGTTCTTTGTCTTTTGTTATCTTCTCTAGTTCTTTCTCTTCTAAACTGCAATCTCCAGATACTGCCATGTCTGCTAGCCAAATGTTTTGTCTTATTGAAACTGTCACATTTGGGGTGTTATGTGGCGTGTGCCTGCCTGCCTGTCTATTTGAATTCTAAAGTCCCAGAGCATTTTAGCTTCTTCATTTTCTATTACTTTCACTACTTTATGGTACCACCAGTTTTTGCTTGCAGGCAAATAGCATTTCCTGCAGATCTTTCAATGCACTGTTGTTGCTACTTTATAATCAGTCATTGTTTGTAATCATATTTCGAGGCACTTGACTATCTAGTCAAATGATGGGGAGTCAAATACCTTCTTGTAATCAATAATGCTACATACAAGTTGGTCTTCCTTCTCTTGCATTTTTCCAGAAATTGTTGTTATTATTATTGTTATTTAAAGTCATATGCCTGCTGACTCACAACAATATTTGCTTGTTTTTTTGTTTGTTTTATATGCTAAAAGCTGTCATAGAAAAACATTTGCAAAACACATGGGGTCAAGTGCACTTAATGCAAAGAGGCTATAGCATTATTTTCATGCAAACCTTACACTGTGTAAATGTTTATAGAATGTCAGAAACCAGAAGCCAAATCAGTTTGGGGTCAAAATTAGCAACAGCATACCAAACATCATAAATTGTTTACAAAACATCTTTCAAAATCATAGCATTAATTCATTATTCAGGGCACAAAAATGCAATAACCTTACTTGTTTTTCCTCTCTAAATAGGTTATGCTTGGAAAAAGATGGAAGTTGAAGATAATCGCACATTGCTTACTGATTTTGTGATAGTTGGGTTTACAACAGAACCATTTCTACGCACAATTCTCTTTGTGGTGTTTTTGGCATTGTACATCCTAACACTGACTGGGAACCTGGGCCTCATGACACTAATCTACCTGGACTCCCGCTTGCACACACCCATGTACTTCTTTGTGGGCAGCCTTTCCTTCCTGGATGTCTGGTATTCTTCAGTATACATTCCTCGGATCTTATATGATTCTTTGTCCAAGAACAACCACATTTCCTTAGCAGGTTGTGCAACCCAGTTCTTCTTCTCTGCTACAGCTGGTGGGAGTGAATGCTTCCTATTGGCCTTCATGGCCTATGACCGCTTTGTGGCCATCTGCCACCCACTCCTTTATGCCACTGCCATGCCCAAGAAGCTCTGTGTCCAGCTGGTGCTGGGAGCCTATGCAGTGGGGTTTGCCAATGCTATAATACACACTGGTAACACCTTCCGCCTACACTTCTGTGGTAGTAATATCATCAACCACTACTTTTGTGATGTGCCACCACTTATGAAGATGGCCTGTGATGACAAAGGAGTATATGAAATCATCCTCACTACTGTCATTGGCTTCACTTTGCTGGCAGCCACTGCTGTCATTGTGAAGTCCTACATTAGTATTGTGGCAGCCATTATTCGCATCCGTTCGGCTGCAGGGAGACGCAAGGCTTTCTCCACTTGCTCAGCTCATCTGCTCTCTGTCTCCCTCTACTATGGCTCCATGCTCATTACATACTCCGCACCCAACTCTCACCACACTGTAGACTGGGACAAGATAAATGCACTGTTCTATACAGTAATCAACCCTCTGGTCAACCCTTTGATTTACAGCTTACGCAACAAAGATGTGAAGGCAGCCTTCAAGAAAGTCTGGGGGAAATTCACAGCACACAAATGAATGGCAAACTCCTTCTTTAGGGTAGACTGCCTAAAGGAGAAAAATTAAACTCTAGTCTCCAATGCCCTCCAGCCAGTTTCTTTCTGTCCTCCTTCCCTCACTTCCTTCCTTGTTAAGACAAAGTGGAGAAAGTCATAGAGAGAGAAGACTTAAGGTCAAAGATTAGCAATCATCTCCTATGCCAGTGATGGCGAACCTTTTAGAGACCAAGTGCCCAAACTGAAACCCCAAACCCACTTATGTATTGTGGGTGCCGGGTGGGCGTGGCCCATTGTCTGGGTGTGGCCAATTGGGTGGGCGTGGCTATGGTGGTAACGGCAGACTGGATAGGACTAAAAAGTTTTATCAATCAATTCCAACTTTGCGAGATTTTTTTTTCCCGCGAGAAGTTGAAATTGATTGAGTGAATTTTTTTTTTCCACATGGCAGTGGAGGACTAAAGTTTTATAAAACCCAGCTGAAGGCCTAGGACTGGAGTGATGGCGTGTGTGCCCACAGAAAGGGCTCTGTGTGCCATCTGTGGCACGCGTGCCATAGGTTCGCCAGCACGGTCCTATGCTCAAAATACCCATGCATACTTTTCTTAATCAGCAATTTTATCCCATATGTGTACCTTCCGAATCTTCTAACCTAACAGCATCAGCACACTTTTAAATTGTTTTAGCAGTTCTTAATTTGCTTTGTGTTGTTGTTAATGTTGTTATCTTTTATTGCTACTATTCTGGCAATGTGAGCCAATAAATATGTTTAGTGGTCGGAGGTTTTTATCTATTCCAAATTCTCCTAAAAGCACATCTAACAAAATGATTTTCAAAATATTCATTAATATTGATTTTATCATACCATAAATATCTATGTCACCCAAACCTCAACTTATTTTCTTCTAACTGCAAAAGCTTTCTAATTCTCAGCATTATCCATTCCTTCATCTAAACTAAACAACAACATGCAAAATATTATCTCAAATCAGGTAAGCCCAATCCTCTTATTTTCTTTGCATCTTATAACACTCTAAAGATATACCTAAATCCACATGGCATGGATTTATCCACTCTGCACCAATGACACATTAAAGTTCTGGAGAAATTTTACATAGGCACCCTCTGCTCCATCCTTGGCACTTGTTCGCAATACTGTGTCTCCAACCTGAGGGTCTTGGATCGTGCAAAATTCAGCAGCGCTGAGTTCTTGATAATCAGAGTCCAATTTAGGGGTGGGGTTGGGAGGGACATATCTTAAGAATGGATGACCACTATATGGTTGACTGGGAAGAGACCTCAAGATCATCCATGCAAGCACTACAAAGACACTATAAAGGGAACCCTATGCCTCTTGACATCCAGCCAAAGGAACTAGAAGCTGTGGCTGCTGACAGAACCTGCTGCCTGGCTTTGAAGAGAGATGACAACAAAGATTGATGGAAAACTCTAAGCAATATTTTTAGAATAATACCCACAATTACTACAACAATTGACTTCCAGTGCTCCCATTGTGCCATAAACTTTGAGCTTCTAGACTGGGACTACAGAGGCATCTCCATAGATGAATTCCATAATAATATCTTCTTAGAAGTCAAAGGACTACCCATACAAATGTTTGGTGTACAACAATACAAACAGCAGTTTTTCTTGTTGCAGATTCTTGTGAAAAAAAAAAGCACCAATTTTACACCTCTCCCCAGCTTATAAAACAAAACCTTTATGGTTACATCAAGATGGTGATTTTTTTCTCAGGCTATGGGTGAATAGTACAATACTTAACTTCCTCTGACTGTCCCTTCCCTTCTACACAATGATGGCCTCTAATTTTAAATCACCACTCCAAAACATATGGATATTGGTCTATAACAGACCTGTAAAACACAAGGCCCGGGGGCCGGATGCGACCCGTGAAGTGGTTTCATGTGGCCCACGAAGCCATCCTGGAAACAGTGAGGGAACGGCCCCCACTGCCTTGGCCCTGGCCCAGGTCGGCCAGGAGCCAATGTACAATTTTGTGGTGGCCATCTATGCTAAAACGCATTCAGTCTTAGCTCCATAAGGCCATCTGGAAACAGGGAGGAATCAACCCCTGCCGTGTTGGCCCCGCCCCCTGGGTGCATGCTGGGGAGGTGTCACCTTTGTGAGGAATGAAGAAATGCACCATTGCCTGGAAGTGGCTAGCAAATGGCCCTTGCCTACTTCACATATCTGGCTTGATGGGCTCCGGGGGAGGGTTTCAGCAGGCAGTGAGGCTCCTCCAGTGGACCATGGCTTGGCACTTGCCCTTGTCCCACTCCCTTCTGCCAGAGACCCTCAGATCTGTCCCACTCCTGCCCAGGCCCCCACAGGCACCCTTGACGCGAACGATGTAGAGCTGGCCACACCCACCCAGTAGGTCACACCCCCACCCACCCCCCGAGGGCAACCACAATGTTGATGTGGCCCTCAGTGAAATTGAGTTTGACCCACCTGGTCTATAAGAAGTTTCCAAGGAGACACACAGTGATTTAGTGCTGATGGGAATTCATCACCATTTAAATCACTCTAACAGAAAAAAGAGTTTGATTCACAGCTGAAATCACATGCAATTGATGTCCAGATATGCCTGGAGATCTCATCATCCCCACCCCCACCCACCTTTCTGGCTGACATGAATCAGACCTCAGCTCTTGTGTAGAATCAGGACTGTGACATATCTAGATATATAGTTAAGGAGTAGCATTGTTTGCTCTTGGGTTGGAGGGAATGTATGAGAGCATTTGTGTTAGCGATTAAATTGTGTCAAATTTAACCAAGGTGTGCTAGTGGGGAAATAAAATCTGATACAGGAAGAGCTTCAAAAGGTTTATGTGTGTGAATATCCATATTTTACAATTCAATGTTCTAAATCTTGGGAAGGTTTGTGTTTATACATTCATATATACATACATACATACATACATACATACATACATACATACATACATGTTTCTGAGGCAGAGAGGATGCCAAACGATGTGTCCTTAACTTTCAGGAAGAAAGTTCAAAAAGTTAATTTTTTCTACATTCAAAGGAATGAGTTTAAAAACCATAAAAATAAAACTATTTTTTCTTTTAAAAAAATAATGATAGATGCAAGGCTTGTTTTCTTTCCATTTAAGATATTGACTTTAGAAATACACAAAAATTAATGCACAAATTGGAGTTTATTTCCAAAATATAAGGAAGCCTAGGGTTCTAGGGGTTTGACTAGAAGGCCTTCCAACAGTTTGATTGTTTGATTTGACTCTCTGATTCTGTAAATTATCCACTCTAGCCAAACTCTATGCAACATGCCTACAATGCAAATTCCACAATTGGCTGGAATAAGCAAACATACTTGCAGAAGCGCAGGTTGGCTTTAGAGAAGGCTGATCTACCATTAATGAGTTTCTAGTAGTCTATCATCTCATTGAAAGATACTCCTTCTGCAACACAACCTCCTTATATGTCATTTCCATAGTCTTTAGAAGGTAAAAGGTAAAGGTTTTCCCTGTACAGTCCCGTCCAACTCTAAGGGGTGGTGCTCATCTGCCTTTCTTGGCCAAGGAAGCTAACATTGTCTGAAGACATTTCTTGGTCATTTGGCCACATGACTATAACCTGAGGCCCATAGAATTTTGTTACCTTCCCACTGAAGTGGTACCTATTTATCTACTCACATTTACTTGCTTTCAAACTGCTAGGTGGGCAGGACTTGGGGCAAGTAACAGGAACTTATCCCATTGCAGGGCACTTGCATCTCAAACCCAAGCTGTCAACTTTCCAGCTGACACTCAGCATCTGAGCCATGATGCCCCCCCCCCCAGACTTTAAAATATAGAATTAAAAAACATTTAATTCTATATTTGAAGCTAAATTGTGGGGAAAGTTGGAGACCTCCTCAATTGATCAACATCTACTTTTTTTAATATGTATGCATCAAACAGGAACATCACTCAAAATAAAAGTAATCCCCAGGACAACCTCTCCAAGCTTATCAGAACTAAGAAAGGTGTCAAGCAAGTATATTATTGTCCCACTCCTTTTTACTTTCTATATATTAACTCCATTAAGGAGGGCAGGGGTCATGGAGCGGAACATGGGACTTGAATGTGTGTATTGCCAGACACAAAGCAGGGCTTGAGTCATAAAACAGGACAGAAGTCTTAAAAGCATGTATTAGTTAGAAGAAGAACAGAAGGAAGTGAAAGATGTCAAAACCACAGATTCATCTATTGGTCGCACAGAGGTGTTAAAGTTTGAAGCTCTGCTACAGCTGACCACATATATCACTATGTCTCATCTATAGCTAATCACAAGTATGTTACAAGAAATTTAGACATTTAGAAGCTTTAGTAAGGTATTTTAGCTACATTAGCGTAGCAACAGGGGGGCTGTAAGGGGGCTATGATTCAAAGCAACCAATCCATGCTATCAGCTACATTTCCGTGTTTTGCTGTTTCTGATGAGAATATATAAACTTGTGTTTTGTTATGAGAAGCTGTTCAGATGTGGTTACAAATATAGTGCTCTGAACCTTTGCGCAAAATAAACCAACTTTTGATTCCGTGGTCTGAGTCCTGTGATTTTCTGCAATACCATGGTGGGCCTCCTCCTCAATATGAATTTCCATCCTCAAGACATTTGCTGGAAGATACATTTCTGTTCTACTCAGATGATGCAGCATTATTTTCAAGAAACCTACAGGCCTTAAAAGAGCATTGAAAGCACTAGCAGAATATTGCAGGGAACACTAGCTAGTACTCAATTACCAGAAAACCAAAATCACGCCATTTGCCAAAAGGCCCAAAAGCCACTCCTGGAGTTTAAATGACCAAAAGACTGAGCAAGATTATTGTTTCCATTATCTGGGAGTTGTCCTTCACGCTGACTCCAGAATAAAGATTTAACTGCTTGATTCACTTTACTTAGTTTTCATTTGAATCCATGTCACTTTAGAACCAGGGTTTCAGATTGGGTTATCATTAACTGTAAGAATGACTGGCAGTTTCTTAGTACAATAATCCTTTTTTTCACTTTTTCTCTTCAGTTTGTTATTGTTTCTTTTATTGTTTCTTTTATTTATTTCTTTTTTTGTTTCGCGCTCTCTCTCTCTTTGTATGTTTGCATTTTTCTGTAAAATCTGTTTAAATAAATAATCACAATAATTTTAAAGAGATGAATATTAAGAAGTCTACACTCCACCATTGTTTTTTTACAGAAATGGCTCTGAGACGAGTGGTGATGGCAGCTGAACCTCTAAGAGCCCTCAGCATGGTAGATGATTGCTTACCTGGAGATCTCAGTAAGCCTCAGGGAATGGTGATTTTTCTCCTTCCTGAATTCTGTAAATATTGATGTTCCACCTTCAGATCATCAGAGGAAAGACTCAGTCTAAGTACTTCCCTAGCGAACTGATGCTACTTAATTTGAAGGCATATTAAGCTTCCATATAGGTTAATCTGTTAGCCTGTCCAGATCAGACTAAGTGGGAAAATATACTTCACTTCATTCACTCAGGTAAGTTTGGCATCTTTAGATGCCATTTAGGGAGATTGTCTCCCAATTTTCTATTATTGATCAATTGTTTTCTGGCCTTTCTGTCACATCTGAGTGCAAAGACTGTTTCAGCCATGTTCAAGTTGGTTCATTCTTGCCCTTCTGTGAATAGATGCTCCAAGTTGTTCAGAAGTAATTCACTTTTCCAATTTCTGCTTCCACTCAGAAGCAGATCCAGGCATCATCTGCATGGTGGTCACTTTTTCCAACCCTTTCTTAAAGGAAGGCTGGAGTCAGTCCTGCCTCCAACAAGAGCCTTAGAATGGGAGTTGGAAGACAAAGTTCAGGCAGAGCTCTGAGAAAGGACAGGGAAAGCTGTTCACAGTACATCTTTAAAATGTTTAATTTCCTAAACTGCTGACTTCCGTGAAGTGGAAAGAGAGCTGTTCACAGCTTTGAAGAAAGGGGACAGTAATCTGAATCTAAGCAGAGATGGCAACACACTGAAGTGATGAATCTCGGGAAGAACCTTGGATGAAAAGCATACAGTTCCACCAGGGAAATGAGGTCAATTTTTTTTCTGCTGTGGCACCGGCTATAGATGAGGCCACTCAGTGACACCAGGAAGAAGAGGGGCACTCTTTTTAGGCCACAAGAAAGGTCTTACAATGAAACCCACAGCTTACATAACAACATTGGGGAACTTGTCTGTCGCTTGTATCAATGTGATGCATTTTCAAAGGCAGCTTGAATGGCAATCAGAGTGGAGCAGTCAGCTACATCCAACCAATTTGGGATTCTCATTAAAACAGAGAAAGTCTTTTCTGCTTCTTTCTTTTTCCCACATTTGGGGGAATCTTGTTCAGATATTTTTAGATGGGGTGTGCCTGCTTATTCTAGTGAAATTTGGAAAGAGAAGCTGTAGTGCAATTATACATTTGAGTACAATCAAATACAACAACTTAGTAAAGTTGGTATAAATATAGATTTCTGGGATTTTATAACAAGGAGCAGGACATGTCAGTGAAACCAAGTTACAGCCACAGTGCTCTTTAAAATCCAGGGATTGCATGGCTGAGAAAAGCTTCAGAGACTATAGAAGAAATATTTGAATTGTCCTCTTTCCTATGGAAGAATATTAGGAATTATTTTGGCTTTGGAAATATGAGGAGCTTTTCAAGAAAGCAGTGCATGCTCATATCAGGTAATCTGGAAATCATGATATTTTAGAGAATATCATGGGAGAGATTTGGGGACATTTAGGAGAGATTTAGTAACTGACACTAAGGAATTGAATTCACGATGCAGGTCAGCTGTAAAAGGTTGAACCCTGAAAATATCCGAGTAAATAATGAGAGAGAGAAAAAAAAGTTAAAGCTAGCAAAAAAAAAATGACTAAGATAAACAATTTAGGAATTACTTTGGAAGATATTTGGAGCGTTGGGAATAAATCTGGAGATGTTTGATGCCAAAATGTTGATGGTAAGGTTGAAACTACTGAGTCCAATATTAATACTGTCAAAATAATGGGAAAGAGTATTGTGAGCCAAAAACAAAGGTGAAAATGAGAGATGAGAACATGTTTAGATATTAATTTGATGCCCGCTTTTGGATTGCAAGCTCTTCAGATAACTTGAAGGTGGATAAGTAACAAAAATTTACTCTGAGTACTCTCTTTGGTTATGGCGACCTTTATGCTTCCAGTCTGAGATTCATTTAGTTCATAAATGACATGTAGTAGAATGCCTGTTTGGTACAATATATTATTATCATTAATGCAAAGTTTCAAACTCTGTTCAGATACGAAGTTCATTGACATCCTTTTAATTCCATAATTTTTGGCTCCAGACCATATCAAAATGCACTTCAGATTCATATGAATCTAGACAGAAACTGCAAGCAGATCTATTTTTAATTTATCTGTTTAAGAATTTACACAACATATGGATCAATTCCTTGCCAGGTATAGGAAAGCATTCCCTATGTAGCCACTTGCAATACACAGCTTTCAGATTTTTATTTTCCAGCATAGTATCCGTTATTTCCCTGCCTTGGGGGATGCTGATATAACTATATAGTTCTCATCCATTTTTCCTCTTTCTTTTTGCAGACTCAGAATACATCCATTGTTGTAAAACGTGGACTCTGGACCTGACCAGGTATTTATCCGTGTCCCTTTCCTCACTTACAGTTTATCTTTTTGAGCAGGAGGCCCTGGCAAACCCAGCGTTCCCCAACACACAAGAATGGCTTTTATATATTGTCTGGAACCCAAATTCTACATAGTTTACTGCCTCCCCTCCCAACCATGAAGCCACCTCCTTGCCTATACTCTGGTATAGCAAGAGTATCTCAAGGCTTTGTTGTTCGTTTTGGGATTTTGGAAGGGATCAGGAGACTTTCTTCTCCATCTCAGTCCTATTAAAACTACTGGGATGATTTTGTTTGTCTTAACTTGGAACACTACATATTACTTTGTTATAATCCCTCATTCTTTCTCTTCTTTTTTTCCTTTGTTTTTCCACTCTAAATAGGTTATGCTTGGAAAAAGATGGAAGTTGAAGATAATCACACAATCCTTAGTGATTTTGTGATGATTGGGTTTACAGCAGATCCATTTCTACGCACAATTCTGTTTGTGGTGTTCTTGGCTTCCTACAGCCTAACACTGACTGGAAATCTGGGCCTCATGACACTGATCTACCTGGACTCCCGCTTGCATACACCCATGTACTTCTTTGTGGGAAGCCTTTCCTTCCTGGATGTCTGGTATTCCTCGGTCTACACTCCTCGGATCTTATATGATTGTTTGTCCAAGAACAACCACATTTCCTTAGCTGGTTGTGCAGCCCAGTTTTTCTTCTCTGCTGGATTGGGCTGGAGTGAATGCTTCCTATTGGCCTTCATGGCCTATGACCGCTTTGTAGCCATCTGCCACCCACTCCTTTATGCCACTGCCATGCCCAAGAAGCTCTGTGTCCAGCTGGTGTTAGGAGCCTACATAGTGGGGTTTGCCAATGCAATTGTACACACAGGTAACACTTTCCGCCTACATTTCTGTGGTAGTAATATCATCAACCACTACTTTTGTGATGAGCCACCACTTCTGAAGATGGCCTGTGATGACACAAGACTATATGAACTCATTGCGACTGTTATCATTGGTTTCAATCTGCTGGCAGCCACTGCTATCATCATGAAGTCCTACATTGGTATTGTGGCAGCCATTATTCGCATCCGTTCCACTGCAGGGAGACTCAAAGCTTTCTCTACTTGCTCGGCTCACCTGGTCTCTGTCTCCCTCTTCTATGGCTCCATGCTCATCATATACTCCACACCTAATTCTTATCACACTCCAAATTGGGATAAGGCAACTGCGTTGTTCTATACGGTAGTCAACCCTCTGGTCAACCCTTTGATTTACAGCTTACGCAACAAAGATGTGAAGGCAGCCTTCAAGAAATTATGGGGCAAATTCACAGCACACAAATGAATGGCAATCTCCTTCTTTAGGGTAGACTGCAGATGAGGAAATTAACCTCTGTGCTCCAGTGTCTGCCAGTCAACCAGCCACTTTCTTTCTTTGCTCCTTTCCCCATTTGCTTCCTTGTTAAAAGAAAGTGTAGAAAATCAGAAGTTCAGAATTAATTTCAAAGATCAGCAATTATCCCCTATGCTCCAACTTCCTGTGCATACTTTTCTTAGTCAGCAATTTTATTCCATATGTATACTTTCCCAGTCTTCTTCTAAGCTAGCAGCACCCTGATTTTTTATTTCAGACTTTTAAAATGGTTTTGTCAGTTTTTAATTTGCTTTGTGTTATTGTTGATGTTATTTCTTCTAATCTGGTAGTGTCAGCCACTAAATATATTTAGGCTCTCTCTATTTCAAATTCTCATAATAGCACATCTAATAAAATGATTTTTAAAATATGCATTAATATTGGCTTTATTGTACCATAAGTATCTATCCCACCCAAATCTCAAGTCATATCCTCCTAATTCAAAAACTTTCTATTTCTCAGCAACATGCATTCCTTCATCCAAATTAAACAACCACCTGCAAAATATAATCTCAAATCAAGTAAACCAATTCTCTTTATTTTGCATCTTACAACACTGTATATTTCATTCTCAAAGATTTAACTGTTGTTGTTTGTGTGGCATAGATGTCATTCCTGGACTCTGTAGCAATGACACGTCAAACATCTGGAGAGATTTCACCTGTGCATCCTCTGCTCCATCCTTGGTTTTTGTGGATAAGACTCTGTCTCCAACCTGAGGGTCTTGTATCATGAAAATCCACCAATGTTCATTCCCTGATTATCAGAGTTCCAATGTGGGGGATGGAGAATGGATGACCACTATATGTCTTGCCAGTTGCTGTATGTTGCATTAAAGACTGGGAAGAGACCTCAAGATCATCCATGCAAGCACTACAAACATACTATAAAGGAAATCCTATGCCTCTGTGACATCCAGCTAAGGGAAGTAGAAGCTGTGGGCTGCTGACAGAACCTACTGCCAAGCCATGTGCTATGAAGGCTCCACTGGCTTTGAAGAGAGATGACAACAAAGATTGATGGAAAACTCTAATCAACATCGTTAGAATATTACCCACAATTATTACAACAATGAACTTCCAGTGCCCCCATTGTGCCATAGACTTTGCGCTTCCGGATTGGGACTGCAGAGGCATCTCCACAGATCCATAGATGAATTCTACAATAATATCTTCTTGGCATCCAAAGAACTATCCATACGAATGTTTGGTGTATAACAATACAAACAGCAGTTTTTCTTGTTGGGGACTCTTGTCCCCAAACCCCCTACCTTTATACCCCCTCCCCAGCTTATAAAACAAAACCTATTCCCCCCCCCCAGGCTGTGGGTGAATAGCAAATGCTTAATTTCCTAAATCTGACCCTTTTCTTCTACACAATGGTGTCCTCTAACTGTAAATCACCACCCCAAAACATATGAATATTGTTCTATAAGAGGCTTCCAAGGAGACACACAGTGATTTAATGCTGATGGGTCAGGAACTCATCATCATTTAAATCACCCTAACAGAAAATAAAGTTTGATTCACAGTTGAAATCACATGCCCAGATATGCCTGACATATTCTCATCCCCGCTTTTACCCACCTTACTGGCTGTCAGATTTCAGCCTCTGCACGGAATCGAGATCCTACTGGTTAAATTATGTCAAATTAAATCATGGCTTGCTGTTGGGAAAATAAAATGTTATACAGGAAATGCTTCAAAATAGTTGTGTGGATGAGTATTCGTATTTTTCATTTCAGCTTTCCAAACCTCAGTGTCTTTTGTGTGTGCTTACCTATATAGATATGTACATGTTTCCTCCTAAAATTTTGCCAAACTATGTGTCTTTAACTTTTAGAAAAGGTAAAAATTTCAAAAAGGTATTTTTTCCTGCATTCATGGCAGTGAGTTTAAATACTTAAAAAAAATAAAAGTATTTTTTTGGGAAAAAAAGGTTAAAGCAAGACTTATTTTTCTTGCATTTAAGGTACAGAAATACAAAAATTAATGCACAAGTTGGGTTTACTTCCAAAAGATGATGAGGTTTGGGGTCTCAGGGAGTGGACTAGAAGGCCTCCAAGGTCCCTTCCTATTGTTTGATTCTCTGATTCTGTTAATTATCCACTTTAGCCAAACTCTATGCCAGATATCTACAGTGGAAATTTCAGGACTGGCTGAAAAAAGAAAATATATTTGCAGAAAAGCAGGCTGGCTTTAGGGAAGTGTCTAGTAGTCTATCACCTCATTGAAAAATTCTTCTTCCACAACACGTCTCTATATGCAATTTTTCATAGATTTTAAAGCAGCATTTGAATCTATATCATGAGCTACATTGTGTGAAAAATTGGAGACATTGTCAATTGATCGACATCTACTCTTTTTTTAAGTAGAAATGCTTCATAAAATGCTTCATTAAATAGAAATGCTTCATGAAATGCTTCAAAATAAGAGTAATCCCCGGGCCATCTCTCCAAGGCCATAAAAATTAAGAAACCTATCAAGCAAGGATATGTATTTCCCCACTCCTGTATAATTACTACATCCACTCAATGATGGGCCTTCTCAACATGAATTTTCATTCCCCTCAAAAATTTCTGGAAGACACATCCCAGTTTCGCTCAGATGACGCAGCATTATTTTCAAAATTACCTACTAGCCTTAGAAGAGCATTGAAAGCACTAGCAGAATATTGCAGGAACACTACTAGGACTCAATAATCAGAAAACCAAAATCATGGCAATTGTCAAAAGGACCAAGAGCCACTCCTGGAGTTTAGATGGCCAAAAGACTGAGGAGGTCTCCCATTTCAATTATCTGAGAATTGTCCTTCATTCTGGACTCCATAATAAAGATTTAATTGCTTGATTCACTTTACTTAGTTTTCATTTGAATCCATATAGGTTTAGAGCCAGGGTTTCAACTTAGGTAATCATTCGCTCTAGGATTGACTGGCAGCTTTCTTAGAAGAGTAATCCTTTTTTCACTTTTTCTCTTCAGTTTCTTATTTCTTTTATTGTTTTTTGTTTTTTATTTTGTTTCTCTCACTCTCTTTGTATTTTCGTATTTTTCTGTAAAACCTATTTAAATAAATCATTATACTAATTATAAAGGGATGCCCACTATGAAATCTACATTCCACCATTTTCTTTTACAGAAATGGTCCTGAGACAAGTGGTGATGGCAGCTGAACCTCTAAGGGGCCTCAACATGGTAGATGATTGCTTACCTAGAGATCTCAGTAAGCCTCACGAAATGGTGATTTTTATCCTGGGAAAGGTGATTTTTATCCTTCCTGTATCCTGTAAATACTGATGTTCCACCTTCAGATCATCAGAGGAAAGACTCAATTTATGTACTTCCACAGGGAATTGATGCTATTGAGGTTACTTAATTGGAAGGAATATTGTGCTCACCCTATTTAGGAAAATACAAGGCTCCCATATAGGCTGATCTGTTAGCCTGTCCAATCAGACTAAGTGGGAAGATATACTTTGCTACATTCAGGTAAGATTGGATCTTTAGGTGTCATTTAGGGAGATTTCCTTCCCCCCTCTCTCTTAATAGGTAGGACTTGATCAATTGTTATCTGGTCCTCTCTGTTGCATCTGAGTGCAAAGACTGTTTCAGCCCTGTTGATTCTTGCTCTTCTGTGAACAGATTGTCCAAGTTGTTCAGAAGTGATTCACTTTTCCAATTTCTGCTTCTATCCAGAAGCAGCTCCATACATCACGGGCATATTGGTCATGTCTTCCAACCCTTTCTCTAAAGAAAGGCTGGAATCAGTCCTGTCTCTGCCAAGAGCCTTAGAATGGGAATTGAAAGACAAAGTCCAGGTAATGCTCTGAGAAAGGACAGGGAAAGGTGTTCACAGCATTTCTGTAAAATGTTTAGTTACCTAAACTGCTGACATCCATGAAATGGAAATAAAGCTGTTAGACATGGAATAATGACACTAAGGAACTGAACTCACGATGCAGGTAAAAAAAAAAAAAAAGTTAAAGCTATCAAGAAAAAAAATGACAAATGTAAAGAATTTAGAAGATTTTGGAGAAAATTAGGAGCATTGGGAGAATATTTGGAGATGTTTGATGCCAGACGGTTGATGGTAAAGTTCAAATTTCTGAGTCCAATATTAATATTGTCAAAATAAGAATTATACGCCAAAAGGAAGGTTGAAAATGAGAGATGGGAACATGTTCAGATACTAATTTGATGCCAACTTTGTGGTTGCAAGCTCCTCAGAAAATCTACTCTGAATGCTAAATTTTATGTTTCCAGTCTGAGATTTCATTTAGTCCATAAATGACATGTAATAGAATGCCTGGTTGATACAGTATATTATTATCATTAATACAAACTTTCAGATTCAAATACTTTTCAGATATGATATTCATTATCATACTTTTAATTCAATCACTTTGGGTTCCAGACCTTATCGAAATGCATTTCAAATTCATATGAATCGAGACATAAACTGCAAGTAGATCTACTTTTAATTGATCTGTTTAAGACAGGGGTAGGCAACCTTGGCTCTTTTATGACTCGTGGACTTCAACTCCCAGAATTCCTGAGCCAGCCATGCTGGCTCAGAAATTCTGGGAGTTGAAGTCCACGAGTCATAAAAGAGCCAAGGTTGCCTACCCCTGGTTTAAGAATTTACACAACATATGGATCAATTCCTTGCCAGGTATAGGGAAGGAATTGTGATGTGCCACCACATGCAATACACGGCATTCAGGTTTTTTTTTTTATTATTTTCCAGAAGAGTATCCGTTATTTCCTTGCCTTGGGGGATGCTGATATAACTATAGTTCTCATCCATTTTTCCTCTCTTTCTTTTTGCAGACTCAGAATACATCCATTGTTGTAAAACTTGGACTCTGGGCCTGACCAGGTATTTATCCATGTCCCTTTCCTCACTTGCAGTTTATCTTTTTGAACAGGAGGCCCTGGCAAATCCAGCATTCCCCAACACACATGAATGGCTTTTATATTGTCTGGAACCCAAACTCCAGGAGGATTTTGTTTGTCATAACTTGGAGTACTATATAACGCATTGTTATAATCCCTTATTCTTTCACTTTTTTCTTTGCGGCCCCCACAAAATTAAGTTTTTAAAAATATTGGAAATGGTTTACTGTATTGATTTAAAAGTGATTTTATAACACAGAAGACGGAATGCAGTGATGTGTCTCTGAAGCATAGAAATGGTGGAAGCCCTCACTCTCAGGGTGTAGAACATGGACTTTGTATTCCCTTCAGTCCAAACTGCTGCTCTTATTTTCTTGCCCTTGATTGATTCTCTCCTATGTCCATCTTGGGCCTTTGTCCACCAGTTGCTTCTCTATTGGGATTTTAAAAGTTCCATAGATTTTGACCTACTCATTTCAGAAACCTTTTCAACTTAATAGACTTTACTCAGTACATTCAAATCCAAACCTCTGGCCAAGTTTCTAATGAAGAATTTTGGCAGTGGTTACTCTTTAATAATTATCATCAATTATGATTCCTTGCAGTCAGCCAGATGTTGAGAATGGATTTGCCATTTTTATCTACCTATTGAGTCCTTCCCAAGGACCTGGGATAGGGAGATGTGGATGTTTTACAACGTTAAAGGTGTTGTCACAGGATGTAAACTCTTCCAAGTAAAGCTGCCTTTTGCAATTGACCACTGGTGATTTTTTTTTTTACTTCCTCCTAACATTCATATTTTCAAATTCAGTTTCAATAATATTTTACAAACCTTAAGAATTACTCAGGCATTGAATATGAAAAAAAATCATTTTCAAATCTACTTTATAAACATAAAATTATATTAGAACTTTATTTCAGTTACATCTATTAGATTTGTAAATATCCATCCTAACTCCAATTGCCTCATTAAGTTTAACTCACTCCGGCTTATCCATAGAATAAAATCTTCTTCTCTGGAAAGTCTATCAAGTCTGTTTTCTCAAAAAATTCTCAATCTTGTTAGTATCCATGAAGAAAAAGTCCCAAACTTGTATTCTTGAGAGTTGTGGATTTGCTTGTTTCAGTTGCACTGAGAAGGTTGTATTTAATCCATCATCATAACAAAGATTGGTGTCAGATTTATATTCCAAAGTTGCAGTTAAGTCCTTTACATTGTCAGATATCTGTGAAATTACCTCAGTGGTTTGATAATTTTCTCTATGTGATTGCACCTCTTGCTCTTCCTTTACATTATCTATAATATTGATATCTTCCTTAGAATATAATTGGTCTATAAAGTGAATAGTTTTCTGTAAAAAAAAAAAAGTTTCAAATACTTCTCTAAAAATATGCTTGTATTTAGCCATCGACCTAGCTCCCCCTTGTGGTCAAAGAATAGATTTTTTTATAAAGCAGTTGCTAGTTCCTGGCCAGAGTTCATAAAAATCGGAGTTTCAGCCACTCACAACAAAGCAATCCAAAGCTAAAGATTATTTAAAAATAGTAAAATAAAACCTCAAATTTCTATCCTTATGTTTCTCTATCCAAAAAACAAATCCCTCCATGCTTCCTTATTTTAGATTACCTCCAGCAACCCACTTCCTTGTCATTTAACAATAAAGTCTCAAAAATTGCACAGAGCTTCAGAAAGAGGTAGCAAGCTGTGAACTGAAAAAAAAGCCTCTTTTAACTAATTCAGAGAGTAATCCCATAAATTGATTAAGAAATGAAAGGCACAATTTATTGTTCCTTTGAAGAATAAATTCCAAAATGGCTACTTTTTCCACTACGAAATGATTGTTGAACAGTTCATCACATGCTCTGAAGCAGAACTCATGAAACTTCTTGCAGACCGCTGCTCTATGGAAGATCTTGTAGATTAATTCTACGACTCCCTGTAATCGAGAAGAGTCATATAAATTGAAGAAAAGCTTGTTCCTTCTGTTAATAATTTGGAAAAAAAATAACATTCCAGAGGGACAAACTTCCCTGGGTATATCATCCATTGGACATGTTCACAGGAAGTCACAGTTCACAGTTGTCAACTGTCAACTGTACTTGTGGCATTCCACACCCACCTATTTACCTTGATAAGTAGAGTCTGTCAACATTGTTGCAAGGATGAAGGGGATATAATTTATTTTCATTATTTTTCTGGTCTTCCTATCTATGGCTTTTAGTTCTGCTTCACTCCAGTCCACTGTTCCAGCTGTGAATCTAACGACTGGAATTGCCCAGGGGTAAATTGCCTTGAAGGTGTTTGACTTTATGATTTTCTTTGCTCTCTTGATGTATTCACATGTAAACGTTTTCTTGACTTTGGTGTGCTTGATGTTGTCAGCTTGAAAGATCACAGTTATTCACTTATAATTACAGCTGTGCTATACATTGGTTGGTTTGCTTCTTGCAGTAAGCCGGTGCTTATATTTGATATCATAAATATTGGCATCTTTTAATGCCTGTGCTAGCTGTTTCTCTTGGAGTAAGCATCAATGCAAGCAAACCTATTCTCTTGTTTTTCTGCTGTTCTAGATGTTCAGTGATTCTTCATTTCAATTCTTCTACTTCTTTAGTTAGAGAGCTAGTTTTTTCTGAGGCAGAAGAGAGGATACCTGATTACAGAACTAAAATGATTCAACAGACGTGCTGGCTTTCTCTACTGTCAACTCCCCCTGGTTTGCCTCTACAATCTGAGTTACTTCTGTCAAGGCTTTCTTTCCTTTGCACTGAATTGGCCTTTACAATTCTTCCAGTACTGCTTCTGTGAATACTTTATTTTGTATTATAAATCAATGTTGATCTGCTAGCCTCTAATCTGTTATTTCTGATACTGGATTTTGCTTTTTCCATTCATTTCAAATATTCTCTTTTTGTTGGGCTTGAACTGTAATAAGACACCATTATTTCTTTGTTTTCTATCTATCTAATTTACATTTCACCATATTTTTTCATGATAGAAACAGTCTTTGTCTGATTCCTCCGATGAGAGTTGTCCAGTATGATTGAACCTCTGGCATAGCTCCTATCTTCTTCACAGCATGTAAGTTCTACAATCATAGTCAAGTAGTCCCTCACTAGAGATAATTAATTATGGTTTGTTGCATAGCCACCCAAATGTTCAGACTGGATTTGGCATTTTTATCCACCTATCAAGACCTTCCCAAGAACCTGGGATAGGCAGATGTTTTTGCTAAATAATATTAAAGGTAAAACCTGTTCCGAAGAGAACTGCCTTTTGCAGTTGACTGATGGTGAATCGCTCAATGCCAATGATGTTTAAGTGGCACTCCAGTTGTTTTGGTATTGCACCCAATAATAACTTTAGTGCATCTTCTTTACTGTCCTTCAACAGATATTCTTCAGATGTGCTTTTTTCTTCTTCAACTGTATGATTTACTTGCAACATCCAGTATCTACTTATTTTCCTTTGTATTTCTGTGAACATCATTGCGAGAATAAAGAGCATAATTCATTTCCACAAATTCTTCTTATTATTATTTAAATGTGTATGCCCTCTTATTCATAACAATATTGGTTTGTTTATTTTAGATACTAAAGCCCGTCATAAGAAAGGGTTTGCCAAATAGATGGAGTCAAGTGCATGTAATGTTAGCAGACATAATACTATTATTTCATGCCAAACATGCATTCTACAAAAGTTTACAGAATTTTCAAAAACTAGAAGCCAAATCAGTTTGGGGCAAAATTAGCAACAGCATACTAAATATCATAAATTATTTACAAAACATCTTTCAAAATCATAGCATGAATTCATTATGCAGGGCACCAAAATGCAATACTCTTACTTGTTTTTCCTCTCTAAATAGATTATGCTTGGAAAAAGATGGAAGTTGAAGATAATCGTACATTCCTTACTGATTTCATCTTGGTTGGGTTTACAGCAGATCCATTTCTACGCACAATTCTGTTTGCGGTATTCTTGGCCTCCTACATCCTCATATTGATTGGGAATCTGGGCCTCATGACACTGATCTACCTGGACTCCCGCTTGCACACACCCATGTACTTCTTTGTGGGCAGCCTTTCCTTCCTGGATGTCTGGTATTCTTCAGTATACATTCCTCGGATTTTATATGATTCTTTGTCCAAGAACAACCACATTTCCTTAGCAGGTTGTGCAACACAGTTCTTCTTCTCTGCTACAGCTGGTGGGAGTGAATGCTTCCTATTGGCCTTCATGGCCTATGACCGCTTTGTGGCCATCTGCCACCCACTCCTTTATGCCATTGCCATGCCCAAGAAGCTCTGTGTCCAGCTGGTGCTGGGAGCCTATGCAGTGGGGTTTGCCAATGCTATAATACACACTGGTAACACCTTCCGCCTACACTTCTGTGGTAGTAATATCATCAACCACTACTTTTGTGATGTGCCACCACTTATGAAGATGGCCTGTGATGACAAAGGAGTATATGAAATCATCCTCACTACTGTCATTGCCTTCACTTTCCTGGCAGCCACTGCTGTCATTGTGAAGTCCTACATTAGTATTGTGGTAGCCATTATTCACATCCGTTCGGCTGCTGGGAGACACAAAGCTTTCTCCACTTGCTCGGCTCACCTGTTCTCTGTCTCCCTCTATTATGGCTCCATGGTCATTACATACTCCACACCCAACTCTTATCACACTCCAAATTGGGACAAGCCAACTGCGTTGTTCTATACAGTAGTCAACCCTCTGGTCAACCCTTTGATTTACAGCTTACGCAACAAAGATGTGAAGGCAGCCTTCAGGAAAGTCTGGGGGAGATTCACAGCACACAAATGAATGGCAAACTCCTTCTTTAGGGTAGACTGCCTAAAGGAGAAAAATTAAACTCTAGTCTCCAATGCCCTCCAGCCAGTTTCTTTCTGTCCTCCTTCCCTCACTTCCTTCCTTGTTAAGACAAAGTGGAGAAAGTCACAGAGAGAGAAGACTTAAGGTCAAAGATTAGCAATCATCTCCTATGCTCAAAATAGCCATGCATACTTTTCTTAATCAGCAATTTTATCCCATATGTGTACCTTTCGAATCTTCTAACCTAACAGCATCAGCACACTTTTAAATTGTTTTAGCAGTTTTTAATTTCTATGCTCCAGTGTCTGCCAGTCAACCAGCCACTTTCTTTCTTTGCTCCTTCCCCCATTTGCTTCCTTGTTAAAAGAAAGTGGAGAAAATCAGAAGTTCAGAATTAATTTCAAAGATCAGCAATCATCCCCTATGCTCAAACTTCCTGTGCATACTTTTCTTAGTCAGCAATTTTATTCCATATGTATACTTTCCCAGTCTTCTTCTAAGCTAGCAGCACCCTGACTTTTTATTTCAGACTTTTTAAATAGTTTTGTCAGTTTTTAATTTGCTTTGTGTTATTGTTGATGTTGTTACTTTTATTGTTGCCAGACTGGCAGTGTGAGCCATTAAATATGTTTGGGCCCTCCTTGGTGGAAGGTTTATATCTATTCCAAATTCTCCTAATAGCACTTCTAACAAAATGATGTTTAAAATTGGATTTATCATACCATAAATATCTATGCTACCCAAATCTCAAGTCATATCTTTCTAAATACAAAAGCTTTCTATTTCTCAGCAAGATCCATTCTTTCATCCAAACTAAACAACAACCTGCAAAATATTATCTCAAATCAAGTAGACCCAATCCCAATCTATCTTCTGCATCTTGTAACAATTTATATTTCATTCTCAGTTATATACCTAAATGTATGTGGCATGGATTTGAGGACTGGACTGTGTCCCTATTAAAAATCAAACACTTGGAGAAATATCACATGTGGGCCCTTCACTCCAACCTTGGCACATGTTGATAAGACTGTGTCTCCAACCTCAGAGTCTTGGATTGTGCAAAATCCATCAGTGTGGTGTGGTGGTGGGCGACATATCTTATGAATGGATGACCACCATATGCCTTGCCAGTTGCTGCCTGGTATACTAAAGACTAGGAATAGACTCGAGATCATCCATGCAAGCACCACAAAGACACAGAGATGCCTTTGTGGCATCCAGCCAAGGGAACTTGAAGCTGTAGCTGTTGACAGAACCTGCTGGCTGGCCCTGGGCTATGAAGCCTCTACCGGCTTTGCAAACAGGTGATGCCAAAAACTGATGGAAAACCGTGAGCAGCATCATAGAGTAACATCCACAATTGCTGCAACAGTGGGCTTCCAGTGGTCCTCATTGTGCTGGAGATTCTGTGTTTTCAGACTACTACTGCAGAGGCACAGATAAACTGCACAGGAATGTCTTCTTTGAAGCTGAAGGACTACCCATCTGAATGTTTAGTGTATAACAATACAAACAGCAGTTTTTCTTGTTGGGGAAAAGAAAATAACAACGACCCACTTATCACCTCCCTCTGCAGCTTATAAAACATAACCTTTATGGTTTCATCAAGATGGTGTTCTGTTTTCCCTACCAGCCCTGGGTGAATAGCACAGTCCTTATTTTGCTGAGTCTGCCCCTTCTGTTCTTTATAATAGTGGCCTCCAGCTGTAAATCACCATCTCACAACACATCAATATTGCTTCATAAGAAGCTTTCAAGGAAACATAAAGTGATGGTGGTTCAGGATCTCATCATTTAAACCACTCTATATCTCCCAACACAAAACAGAGTTTGATTCACAGCTGAAATCACATGTAGTTGGTGCCCAAGCATGCCCTATCATCATTCCTGCATTTATCCACTTTACTGGGTGTCATGTGACATCCATGGCCAGAATCATGATCCTGACATCTCTAGACATGTGGATAAGGAGTATCATTCTTTGCCCTTGGGTTGGAGGGGATGTGTGTGAATATTTGTGTTACTACTTAAATTGTATCAAATTAAATCATGGCTTGCTAGTGGGGAAATAAAATCTGATACAGAGACTACAGTACTTCAAAATGTTTATGTGTTGTGGGAAGAATCCAGAAAAAGAAATATTTTGGGAAATATTAAAAAGGCAGAATATATTTCCCCAAAGGATTTTAAAGGCAGAAACCAACCTCCCCCAAGTCTCTCTGCCCCAAACAGAAACCAGGTCTGCAGAAATGCAGATGTGATAATCTTGTCAGAAAGATTGGAGTCAGGAAGCTGGGAAAAATCCCTGGAATCAACAGTCCCTCACACCAAAAAATCCAAAATTCATCAGCCACAGCCCCAGGGTAGCAGGATATGACCTTTGGGGACATAATAGGATTAACCCACCACCATCCGAATACCAGAAAGGCACACTCAGACTCAGGTCAAAGTTCATCCCACAGGAACAACTCCAAAGAAAAGCCCAAGAAGATATAAAAACCCACCACTTCCTACTACATGTGGTCCGTTTTTTCCAGAGCCATCTTTCTATCTGGCTCTCCTCTTCAATAAACTACAACCTTCTTTCTAAAGCAGTCTCCATTTTGATTATTCCCAGCTTGGACTGAATCCTGATGAAGATTTTTCTTTCAACAGTGTATAAATGTTCATATTTTTCTATTCAATTTTTCCAACCCTTGGTGCATGTGTATGTTTACATGCATACATTCATCTGCACATGTTTCCTACTAAAAATTGGCCAAACTATGTGTCTTTGACTTTTAGAAAAAATAAAAAGTTCAAAAATTTTTTTTTTCAGCATTTCAAGGGAACGAGTTTAAAAACCCATAAAAACAAAACTTTTTTTTAAAAAAAAACTAAGATTAAAGCAAGGTTTGTTTTCTTGCATTTAAGGTACTGATTTAAAAAAAATACAGAAAAACTAATGCACAAATTGGAGTTTATTTCCAAAATGTAATGAGGCCTGGGTTTCAAAGGGTTGAACTAGAAGGCCTCCAAGGAACTGTAGCAGCCCTGAGACTCTTCACCTCTAGCATCAATCTTGCAGCTGACAGAACTGTTGCAAGCAAGTTGGCAAAAAGGAAATTTCCCCCTCACTCTCATCACTGATCCATAACACTATATATTCTAGCAAGCGCCAATGGTAACTACTTGGCCATGGGAGGGAGAATCCATATGGAGTATCTGCAGTGGTGTGCTTACAACAACTACCTCTGCTGGCTTCATTGTCATTGCTCACCATGCTGCTGATTGGATCACCAGGAATTGCTGCTTAGTTCCACTTTCAACCAGCATCACGGTCTGGTTTGGAAGCATCACTGCTTCAGACAGGAAGCAGGTGCAGAGAGTAGTGAGGATGGCCGAAAAGATCATTGGATGTCCCCTCCCTCCCATCCAGGACATAGCACAGAAGCGTTGCTTGAGCAGGGTCCGTAAGATTATCTGGGACACTACACATCCTCTTCATGACCTGTTTTTCTTGTTACCTTCTGGGAGGAGGCTTCGTGGTATCTGTAACAGAACATCCAAATTCAGCCATAGTTTCATTCCATACAACATTAACCTTGTGAACTCTCAAGCTTCCTCCTTCCATTGTATATTCAAGATGGACAGTATTTAATATTTATTTGCTATGCATACTGTATGTAGGGGTGTGGATCTATACATATGTTGTTCATAGTATGTTTAGGTGTGTGTCATGTATGTGTTTCACTTTGAGAGCGGGCAACTAAATTTCATTTTTGATGTGTGCCATTGTGCCCACAGTAAAAAAAAATGACAATAAAGGTTATCTTATCTTATCTTATCTCTCAAAATACCAGAAAATGTAAAAATTGGCTCTCACAAACTGGTAAAAATTATCTCCAGCATGCCACTGAACATATACCTCTGCAATAATTGGAGTTTATTCCCAAAATATAATGAAGTCTAGGGTTCCAGGAGTTGGACTAGATGGCCTCCAAGGTCCCTTCCAACCCTTTGATTCTATGGCTCTGATAGTTATCCACTTTAGCCAAACTCTATGCAAGACACCTACAAGGAATTTCCAGGACTGGCTGGAATAAGCGAACATACTTCCAGAAGGGCAGGCTGGCTTTAGGGAAGGCTGATCTATCATTAATGGCTGTCCAGTAGTCTATTATCTCATTGAAAAATACTTCTTCCACAACACAACCTCCCTATATATCACTTTTGTAGAATTTAAAACAGCATTTGATTCTATATTCTGAGCTAAATTGTGTGTGTGTGTGGGGGGGATTGGAGATGTCCTCGATTGATTAACATCTTTTTTTTAAATACCTATGTTTCATAAAGGGACCTCGCTCAAAGTAAGAGTAAATCCCAGGCCACTTCACCGGGGTCACCGGAACTAAGAAAGGTGTCAGGCAAGGATGTGTATTGTCCCCACTGCTATTTAATTTCCATATCAACTCCATTGGAGTTATTTCCAAAATATGAAGCCATTATATTCACTTTAGTTACTATTGATTTGAATCCATATAGGCTTAGAACCAGGGTCCTCCTCAGGTTAATCATTCGCTCTAGAAATGACCGGAGGTTTTCTTAGTAAGTAATCCTTTTCTCTCTCTCTCTTTAGTTTGTTATTGATTCTTTCATTTCTTTCTTTTGTTGTTTTCTTAGTTTTTCTCTCTCTAATTTTAAAAGGGATGACCATTATGAAATCTACATTCCACAGATTTTGTTTCCAGAAAAGACCATGAAAAAGTGATGATTGTAGCTGAATGTCTAAGGCTCCTCAACGTGGAAGATGATTGCTTACCTGGAGATCTCAGGTAGCTTCGGGGAATGGTGATTTTTCTTCTTTCTTTTTTTGTAGAATAAACTTCCCTTGGAGGAATTAAGAAAAAAATCTTTTAGCATGATCCTGTTGTTCCATCTTCAGATTATTATCATCAAGAGGAAAGACTCAATCTAAGTACTTCCAAAGGGAACTGAGGCTACTTAATTTGAAGAAATATTGTTCTCACCCTATTTAGGATAACACAAGGCTCCTATGTAGGCTGATCTGTTAGCTTGTCAAAACAGAATTAGCAAAAAAATGTATTCAGTTTATTTCAGGTCAGCTTTGCATCTCCAGGTGTAATTTAGGAAGATTCCTCCCAAGATTCTAAATTCCCCAGCTAATTAACTCCTCAGTGTTAATTAACTAATTAACTCCTCAGTGTTCAATTAACTAATTAATTCCGCAGTGTTCAAAGGTGGATCAGTTTTCTGATTTGCCCCAGAAGCAGGTCCATGCATCATGCATGGTGACCCTTCAATTTCTTCCCCCTTTCTCTAAAATAAGGCTAAAATCCATCCTGCCTCTGACAAAAATCTTAAAAGGAGATTTGAAAGACAAAGTCCAGGCAGAGCTTTAGAAAGGACAGTGAAAACACCGCACTTATTTAAAATATTTAATTACCGAAATTGCTGACTTCTATAAACTGGAAAGAGAACTGTTCACACATCACTGGGAAAAGGATAGTAACATAGACCTAAGCAGAAGATGGTAAGTTCCTGATGCAATGAGTCTCGGGAAAAACCTTGGCTAAAAAAATTAGTGTTGCACAAGGGAAGTGAGTGCAGATTATTTTCCGCTGCCCCACTGGCTGGAAATCAGGTCACTTAATGACACCAGGAAGAAGAGTGGACATTCTCTTTAGGCCACAAGAAATGTCTTTCAATGAGGCACAGAGCTTACACAACACTGAGAACCCTCCTTTGTTGCTTGTACCTACAAGATGCATTTTCAAAGGCAGCAATCAGAATGGAACAGTCAACTTCACCCTGCCAATCTGGGACTCTCCTTAAAACAGAAAAAAAATATTGTGCTTTTTTCTTGTACTTTGCTTGTACTTAAGTGATTCCTTTTTGAGGACAGCTTGAATGGCAGAGTGGAGCAACCAACTTCAGGCAGTCAGTATGGGATTCTCATTAAAAAATCTTTCTGCTTCTTCCTTTTTCCCACATTTGAGAAATATCTTGTTTGGATTTTCGACCTGGATGTGACTGGTTATTCTGATGTAATCTTGACAGGGAAGCTGTACTTAAATTATACAATACGAACAATAGAACAATTTAATGGAAGTTGGTAGAAATCTATTTTTATGAAATTTTGTAAACAAAGAGTAGTGCAAAATAGGGAAATTGAGTTAACTGTCTCTGTGCTCTGGAAAGCTGGGTGATTGCAAGGCTGAGAAAATTTTAGAGGAGATACAAGAAATATTTGAATGGTTTAATTTTCTGAAGGAGGATTTCAAGGGTCTAGAAGGCTGAAGAGTTTTTCAATAAAGAGTTACATCATATGAGATAATTGGGAGATCGGAATATTTTAGGGATTACAGGAAAGGTAGAGATTTAGGCATGAGATGGCTGAGGCTAACTAAGGAATTTAAATGCATTAAGCAGGGAAGCTGTAAAAGACAGCACCCAGTAGATGTCACAGAATAGTATCACTCTGCTTTCTTGAAATCCATTAACTCTTTCTTTCTCTATATCTGAAGCTCCAGAATTGTCTACCAGTCTAAGTTTTCCCTCTCTGCAATTTTGAAATAATTCTGCTTTGGAGGAATTGCTCTCCAGTTGATTGTGTGGAATGCAAAACAATTAATATGTGACCTAGCATCTTTGGTAGCAAGCATTCTCTTGTATGGTGTCCTACATCAACATGTTTGGAAGTAATTCATACTGGATTCATTACAGGGCCTATGCCTAAGGAACTGTATAATGTTGCACTTTCAACTGTTCCATGGACCCTATCCTTCATTTAAGGAAATCCTTGAAAACCTGAAAGATCAGCCCTGGTTGTCAGCAAAATTAGAATTAATGTCAATAAGAAAAATGAAAGTGCATGCCTCAGATTTATTGAACAAGTATCCCCAGCATGTAAGAGCTCCAGATTGCATAATGGTGTATTTATGCAAGTGATGTGAAACAAACAGGTAGATAGTGACAGGAAACAAAGGACAATCCAGAAGATGGTTTGGATATCTGGATACATTTTGGCCTTCACCACCGCAGAGGAAGCCATTGGTGAAGTCTGCTGTCTCTAGCCAGCTGCCTTCCCAGATGTGTTGCACTTTCAGTCACTTTGGTCATGCAGTGACCATTCTGGATGAGCATTATGAGAACTGTTTCCAGTATACTGGGGAAGAGAAAACCAAGTTAAGAATGCTTGGTGAAGTATTTGAAGTTTGATGACAGAATATTAAGGGTGAAACTATGGAATCCACTACTAATGCTGCCAAAGCACATTAAGGTGAGGAGAGTCGTGAACCAAAAAGAAAGACTGAGAATGGGGACTGGGAGCATCTTCACAAACTAATTTGATGTCAGTTGCCAGTTTTCTGAATGCAGGGCCCCCAGATGAGATAATTTTGGACATACTGTATGACAGAGACATTCTTCTCTCTCTCTTTTTTAACAAACCCCTACCAAAAAGTTACATAGTATATCTTTAATAGGCATTCTTAATTGCTAAGTCCACTATTTGTATTGAAGAGACATTCACTGTGGCAACAATATGTACAATTGTATACAATATGTGAAAGTTTCTTTACTATTCATTTATTTTTTAAAAAAACTTTATGAGAGCAGTTTCCACATGAGGTTTTAATCAAGCTGAATAAGAAATTGTAAAAAAAAAACCATAATATCTTTTTCTGGTACTAATAGGATACCTCTAAGTTTTCTTATCTTTTTATTACAGTTGTTTTGAGTATATATAGTAATACAGTCATTGATAGTTTTGGATATGCAGTTCTAATGTTTCTTCTACTTTTTTTAACAAAGTTTATATAGATGAGGAAAAATAGGAACAATACAGGTATGATAAAGGGAGGGGTGGAAGGAAAGGGGAAGGGAAGGGAATAAGGCATTAGGGTAAAAAAAAGGATAGGTACAATCACATATTTCAACAAACAACCTACCGTCCGGATCATAATAATGAGTAAATATCATATTCAACCATTTTACCAAAGCTTAGACTATAACATATTAAAAACAATTAGTAAACAAATACGTTGATCTAATAAGTAAACACTACTAATAAAATCTCAAAAAATCCTAACAATCAAAATTAACAAATGAGAATCAGTAAATCAGGAAAAATAATCATATCATCAAAATGTTAGTTAGAACTCGATTAAAAATCAGTCATCTATTCTAAAATATTGAATCCTTCAAGTTCTAACGTATCTCTAACCATTGATAAAAATTTTCCCAAGTTCTAAAATAAATTGAATCATCTTTTTCTTTAATTTCTAATGTTAGACTATCCATTTCTGCACACTCTAAAATTTTAGTAATTATAATCTGGTCAGATGGTAAATTCTCATTTTTCCAAAATTGGGCAAATACTATCCTTGCAGTTGTTAAAACATGCAATATCAAGTAGTTATTCTCTTTACCATAATTAGGTCTTAATATTCCTAACAAAAACAATTCTGGTTTAAATTCTATCTGTAGTTTCATCATCTTTTCCAACCATCTATGGCTCTTAGACCAATATTTCTTAGCGATAGGGCATATCCACCAGGCATGGTAGTAAGTCCCTGGCTGTTGTTTACATTTCCAGCAAATATCCGAGACATTTTTAACATTTTTGCTAAGCGAACTGGTGTCATATGCCATCTATAAAACATCTTATATAAATTTTCTTTATATGCTATCACTTTTGTAAGCTTAATATTTTTATCCCAAAGTTTTTGCCAGTCTTCCAAATCTATAGAATGTCCAAAGTTCTTTGCCCATACTATCATTGTTTCTTTCACTTGTTCTTCTTCCATCTTCCAATTTAAAAGAAATTTATAGAGTTTTCTAATCAAATTCTCATCTGTTTTTAACAAAATTTTATCTAATGGGGTTTGTTCTTTGTAAAAACCTGTCGATTTTATATCTTTTTCGTATCTTGTTTGAATTTGCAAATACGATCACCATGTCAAGTCAATACTTTGTAGTTGTAAAGTTTGCCTGTCCTTAAGTTTTCCCTCTTTGTCTAAAATGTCTTCATAACTAACTAAGTTTGTCATAATCAGATTTGGATAAGCAAATGCTTCCATTGTTGAGAGCCACTCAGGTATTTTCATATATATTTTATGTTTAATTTTCTCCCATTCTAAAAGTAGTACGTTTCTTATCGCATGATTTTGAAAGTACTTATGTGCTTTAGATTTCTCATACCATATAAAAGAATGCCAATCTAACTGAAGGTTGTGTCCCTCTAAGTAAAGCAATCTTTTATTTCTCAATACAATCCATTCTTTAAGCCAAAGCAAAATAGCCATTTGATAGTAAAGTCTCCAATCTGGAAGTCCAAAGCCCCCTCTATCCTTAGATTCTTGTAACAATTTACATTTGATTCTTGCTTTCTTTTTTGCCATATAAATCTTAAAATCATTGCATTTATATCATCAAAAAAATTCTTAGTAAGTTTAATAGGCACTGTTTGAAATAGGAAAATTAGCTTTAGTAAAATGTTCATCTTAACCGTCGCTATTCTTCCTAGAAGTGATAATCGAAGATTTTCCTATCTTTCCAAGTCTATTTTTATTTGTTTCATTAATCTCTCATAGTTATCTTCTTTTAGTGTAGTACATTTTGCCATTAAATAAACACCCAAATATTTGACTTTTTTAACTGTTTGAAGATTTGTCATTTTAGCGAGTTGAATTTTCTGTTTGTCTGTTAAATTTTTTGTTATTACTTTAGTCTTTTCCCTGTTTATTTTCAGGCCAGCCACTTCTCCAAATTTCTCAATTTTCTGCAAGAATTTTTCAACTGTTTGCAATGGCTCCTCTAGAATGAAGACCAAGTCATCCGCAAAGGCCTGTAGTTTATATTTCTGGTCTTTAATCTCCAGGCCTTTAATTTCTGTATCTTGTCTGATATTTCTTGCCAGAACCTCTAATGGAAGAACAAATAACAGAGGAGACAACAGGCATCCCTGTCTAGTGCCTTTTTTAATCTCAAATCCATCTGTATAATCTCCATTTAAAATTATTCTTACTGTTTGTTTCTTATAAATTGCTTGAATTGCTTTGTTAAAATTTTCACCAAAGTCCATTTCTTGAAGTTGTTGAAACATAAATTGCCAATTTAAGTTATCAAAGGCTTTTTGTTCATCAAGGATTATAAATGCCATCTAGTTCCCTGGATGGATTTCATAGTATTCCAAGACATTTAAAATAATCCTCAAGTTGTTCTTTATCTATCTTTTTGGTAGGAAACCATTTTGGTCTGGGTGTATAAATTCATTTAAAAAGTTTTTCATTCTTTCTGCCATTATTGCAGCAAAGATTTTATAATCCACATTTAGTAGCGATATTGATCTGTAATTTTTAATTAGTGTATGATCGGTATCTTCTTTAGGTATCAAAGTAATATTAGCTTCAGTCCATGAGTCCGGTATTTTTGTCTGTGTAAAAACTTCATTACATAAGTCTTTCAAAGTTGGAGTTATAATATCTTGTAACACTACAAAAAATTCAGCAGGAAGACCATCAGATCCTGGTGTTTTATCTTTCTTTTGCTTTTTTATTGCCTCTGTAATCTCCATCATTGAAACATTCTTGTTTAACCTCTGACGCATATTCTCAGGAACCTTTAGGAGATTTGCTTCTTTTAAATAAGCCTGAATTACATCTTTAGAAACCATCTCCGCCTTATAAAGTGTTTCATAATACTCCTTCGTAATTTTTTTCATTAAGTCATTATGACATTGTAGGTCACCGTCTGTATCCCGTAGCTTACTTATTAATCTCTTTTCTCTTTCTTTTTTTTAATCTATATACCAGCCATCTCTCAGGTTTATTGGCATTTTCAAAAAAATTCTGTTTAGACCTTTTAATCTGTTGTGCCATTGTATTTGTCTCAAGTAAGTTTAACTTATGTTTTAATAGTTCAATTTGTGTTTTCAACTTTTTCTTTTGAGGGAGAGACCCTCTTCTCTTAATGTAGAACATGAGTGGGGCAATATTCATTCTACTGATCTGAGAGTTCCATTTGTCCATAACTGGCATGTAATAGACTGGTGGGTGGTATGTCATTGCTATGAATGCAAAGACCCATGTTCAGATGGTGCTCAAATATGAAGTTCACTGATTTTCATTCCATTGCTTTCTCTTGGTCTGTCGCACCTGACAAGATTATCGGAAAAACAATATGGGGAGGAATCGTGTATGCCTTGAGATGATTGGGGGATGTATGTATATGTATATGTGTATGTGTATATGTATGTATGTGTGTGTGTGTGTGTGTATATATATATATGTGTGTGTGTGTGTGTGTGTGTGTGTGTGTGTTGGTTTATTTAGGAAAATGCAGACTTTCTAAAAAGATATGTTTGTCTGTTTAAAAATTTGCGCAACAGATACATCAATTTCCTCGACAATTATGAGATTTTTTTTTCCTCTGGTGGTCAATTCCAGAGGTCATAGTATTCAGTTGTTTTTGCAAGATTTAAAATATTTGGACTAAATTTGAATCATTCCAGAATAAAATCCCCTCTAAACCTGCTTTGTGAGATGCTGATATCAAATATTATGCATCATTTTCCTTCTGATTTTTACAGACTGAAAATTCATGCTTTATTGTAAAATCAAAAGGTGCAAAACTGGGCCTTCAGATTCTCAGGTATTTATGCATGACCTTTTTTTCCCACTTGCAGTTCATGTTAGCAGCAGAAGGCCCAACTAAATGTACTCTTCCCCCATTACAATAAAGTAGTCTCATCCTGTCTGGAGCTGAGACTTTAAATGGTGTTACACATTCTGCCCAAACATGAAGTCCACACCTCACCAAATCTGCATTTTTTATTTCTTTTGTGATCAAGAGACCTTCTCCATTTTAAGGTACTAGGATACTTTTCTTAATTTTAATTTGGAATGCTAGACATTGGATCACTTTAATCTCTCATTCTTTTTTTCTATGTGGTCCGATAACAAAAAGAGGTTAATCATCTGGGCAAATATGTACAAGTGGTTAGATATAACTTGTCCTAGGTGATGTCTCCAACTTCACAGACTAATCTTCCTCACTGTCTTCCTCCAAACTCTACTAATCCCCAACTATCCTACAAGTTTGATAACCAATAATATAAATTAATTACTTCCATATGCTAAGAGGTATATTTAGAAACAGCTGCCAAAATCAGTTTGGGGCATCATTTATAACATTGGATATAATTATTTCTAACCAGCATCCTATAAATGTGTATAGAACATTTAAAAAGTAGAAGCAAAATAGGTTTGGGGCATCCAAGGTCTTTGGAGTTCAACAAATCTTTCAAAAGACTGAAATGAATTCTCTATTTCTGGGCTGAGAACTGTAGCATTCTTACTTCACTTTCCTTTCTATGCAGGTTATGCTAATAAAAATGACAGACGTGGAAGGAAATCAGACATCGGTTACTGATTTTGTCCTGGTTGGGTTTACAACAGACCCATTTCTACGCATAATCTTCTTTGTGCTGTTCTTGGCCTCCTACACACTAACATTGATTGGGAACCTGGGCCTCATGACCCTGATCTATCTCGATTCCCGCTTGCACACACCCATGTACTTCTTTGTGGGCAGTCTTTCCTTCCTGGATATCTGGTACTCCTCGGTCTACACTCCTCGGATCTTGTTTGACTGTGTGTCCAAGAACAATCACATGTTCCTTGCTGGTTGCACAGCTCAGTTCTTCTTCTCTGCTGGCTTGGCCTATAGTGAATGCTTCTTACTGGCCTTCATGGCCTATGATCGTTTTGTGGCCATCTGCAACCCACTCCTTTATGCTACTGCCATGCCCAAGAAGCTCTGTGTCCAGTTGGTGGTAGGTTCCTATGTAGCTGGTTTTGCCAATGCCATTGCCCACACTGCTAACACCTTCCGGCTACGCTTCTGTGGGAAAAATATCATCAACCACTACTTTTGTGATGTAGTACCTCTTGTGAAGATGGCCTGTGATGACACACAGGTATATGAACTCATTCTGACTGCTCTTATTGGTAGTAATATGTTAGCAACCACAGTTGTGATCCTGAGCTCCTATATTGGTATTGGGGCAGCCATAGTCCGCATCCGCTCAGCTGCAGGGAGACGCAAAGCCTTCTTCACTTGCTCTGCTCACATGGTTTCAGTCACCCTCTTCTATGGTTCCATTCTAATTATGTATTGCAGACCCCACTCTCAACACACTCCAAATTCAGACAAGGCAAATGCATTGTTCTATACGGTAGTCAACCCTCTAGTCAACCCTTTAATTTATAGCTTACGCAACAAAGATGTGAAGGCAGCCTTCAAAAAAATCTGGGGGAGATTCACAGCATCTATATGAATGTCATTGATACTGTATTACTTCAAATTAAGCCCCCATCTACACTGTTTTCCTTCCTTCCCTCCCTTCCTTCCCTCCCTTCCTTCTCTCCCTCCTTCCCTCCCTCCCTTCCTTCATAAAAGATGGTGAAGCAAGACAGCAGACCAGAGAGATTATTGCAAGGATTAACCACCATCTTCAATCCTCAAAAATTTTCCACACTTATTTGTCATTGTGAGCAACTGTTTCCAGTATACACACCTTCCCATTTCTCTTCCTATTTTACAACATCCTACACAGAGACAGGAACCGAATGAAACAGACCCAGCATGATCAGAATGAAATCATTGGACAATGAGAAGCTGAAGAAAAAGTTTGACTTTGAGGTAAGAATTGGCAAACTGAAGACAGCTCTGCTGCAACAGATTGAAGTGCTGATGAATAGACTGGCTCTTTGTAATTTCTTTCTGGACAAGGAAAAAAGTTCAAATCACCTACAAATGCTCTGCTATACAGTATACAGTTGTTCCTTGCAAGGAGCCAGCATTCTGGAAAGTTTAGTGTTCTGGGAGATAATACTATAGCATGTTGCTCAAACCATGCTTGGCACCTTTAAAAGAATGCCCAGGTTCACATATATCCTTCTCTAATCACTTTCAGAAATTGATTGTTAATTGCTTTTTAGCCATTAGGGATCTATGGCTCTACAAGTCTGAAAACATCAGGTGAGTTTCCTTCAATACTTGAAAGAAATTTTAAATATAAATTTAAGGATTTGTTTTTTAAAAAAAAACAGCAAAAGGGTGTTAGAAATTTGCTTTTGGAAAATTATAAATGGACTGTGGGGGTCAGATGAATTGGAAATAAGATTTTGAAATTAATTAGAACAATCCTTCCTCTGAGTTTCTTAAATCCTTTTAACACATTTGAAGATTTTGGATCTTAAGTGTAAGAAATCTTGTGGAAACGTTGCAGATTAAAACCCATGATAAAAGGAGACTTTAAAGGTTGAACACTAAGTCAACTAGAAATAAATAAATATTATAATTAAAGGAGAAAAGCTTTACTAATATAAGAGGGAGAAAAATATATCAACTTTTTAAAAAACCAAGGATATTTGGTAATAATGCACTCAGAAATTTATTTTAAGATTGTATGCTACAATAAAATATTTTTTAAAGAGAAGAGGATACAAATGAGAATGAGACTGTTTGGGATTACAAGCAGCGGCATGACAAAGTAGCAACAATGGTGCATTGGAAGATCTGCAAAAAATATCATTTGCCTGTAAGCAAAAACTGGTGGGATCATAAAATAGAGAAAGTCATAGAAAATGATAAAATTAAACTGCTCTGGGACTTCAGAATTCAAACAGACAAGCACCTGCAACATAACACCCCAGACTTAACAATTGTCGATAAGAAAGACAAAAAAGTCTGGATAGTGGACGTGGCAGTGCCTGGAGATAGCAGAATAGAAGAGAAAGAACTGGAGAAGATAACAAAATACAAAGACCTACAAATAGAAATAGAAAGACTGTGGCAAAAGCAAGCAAGGGTAGTACCAATAGTCATAGGCTCCTTGGGTGCAATCCCAAAACAACTGGAGCACCACTTGAACACCATTGGCATTGACAAATTCGCTATTAGTCAATTGCAAAAGGCGGCCTTATTAGGAACTGCTTCCATCCTGCGACGATACCTATAATACCATCAAACATCTACTTCTGCCTATCCCAGGTCCTGGGTAAGGACTCGATAGGTAGACAAAATGCCAAATCCAGTCTGAACATCTGGCTGACTGTGCGATGATTGATAATAATAATAATAATAATAATAATAATAATAATAATAATAATAATAATAATAATAAGGCTGACCATTGTCAAGCATAAACAACTACTGTTTCTTCAGAAAAGGCCCTGAGACAAGTGATATAAGGTGGGATACAAAATAAATAATCAAATAAAATGACTGAATATGGAAGATGATTGTTTACTTGAAAATCTCAGGTAGGGAATGGTGGTTTTCCCCCATTCTCTCCCTAGATGAGACTCCCTTTGGGAGAGTTAAGAAAAAACTTTTGGCATAAGAATAATGTTCCACATTCAGATCATCAGAGGAAAGACTCAGTCTAAGTACTTCCACTGGGAATTGATGCTACTTAATTTGAAGGAATATTGTGCTCACCCTATTTAGGAAAACACAAGGCTCCCATATAGGGTGATCTGTTAGCCTGTCCAATCAGACTAAGTGGGAAGACTTTGCTCTGCTTCATTCAGGTAAGTTTGGAATCTCCAAGATTAATTTAGGGAGATTCCCACTAAGATTCTGATTTCCCCAGCCAGAACTTAACTAATTAATTCTAAGATGTTTAAAGGCGGATCACTTTTCTGACTTCTGATTCACCCCAGAAGCAGATCCCTGCATCATGCATGGTGACCCTTCAATTTCTTCACACTTTCTGTAACAGCAGGTAGGTGTCAAATCTGCTTCTGACAGGATTTGAAAGACAAAGTCCAGGTAGAGCTGTGAGAAAGGAGAGAAAAAGCTTTTCACATGGTGAAATGGTTAATTACCTAAACAGCTGACTTCTATGAAGTGGAAAGAGAGATGCTCACACCTTTGAGGAAAGAGGACACTAACCTGGATTAAGCAGAAGACGGCAACCCCCTGTTGAGATAAGTCTCAGAAAGAATCTTGGCTGAAAAAACGTGGGGAAAGAAGGCAGAACTTTCCTGAAGCTCCATTGGCTGGAAATGAGGTCACTCAGTGACACTAGGAAGACAAGTGCATATGCTCTTTCAGATACAGAAAAGGTCTTCAAAGATGCATGCAGGTTACACAGTATTGCCCCCCCCCCTTTGTTTGTTGCTTGTACTTAAATGATGCCTTTTCAAGGACAGCTTGAGTGGCAGTAACTTCAGGCAACCAATTTGGGATTCTCATTAAAAAGCAAGAAAATCTTTTTCCTCTTTTTTTCCCCCAAATTTGAAAAATAATTTTGTTTGGATTTCTCCTTGGTTTGTGCCTGGTTATTCTGGTGAAATCTGGTCAGAGAAGATGTACCTCCAAGAGAACAACTGAACTTAAGTTGGTGGAAACTTAGTTTTATGAACGTTTCTAGACAAAGAGCAGTGAAGAATAGTGAAACTGAGGTATCATCAGTGCTTTGGAAAGCTAGGTGATTATACGGCTGAGAAAAATATTTTATTCATTCATTCATTTATCAAACTTCTTACTTGCCCATCTTCCTCACAGAGGGGCTTTTGAGAAGATACAAGAAATGTTTAAATGGACTAATTTTCTGAGGGAGGATTCAAAGGTCTAGAAAATTGGAGAGTGTTTCAATAAAGAGTTGCATCATATGAGATAATTTGGAGATCAGAATATTTTAAGGATTATAGAGCTTTAGGCATGGGGTTGCTCAGGCTAACTAGGGCAGGGTTAGGCAACTTTGGCTCTTTTATGACTTGTAGATTTTAACTCCCAGAATTCCTGAGCCAGGTTGCTTACCCCTGAAGTAGGGAATCTGAATGCATTAAGCAAGGAAGCTGTAAAAGACTGAACACTGTAGGTGTCACAGAATAAAGCAGTTAATTTCAATAGCACAATAGAAAAACAGTCATTACTACAGTGCAAGTATTAATCATGACCCCCCTAATATCACTCTGCTTTCTTGATATCCATTAACTTTCTTTCCCTATTCAGCCGACTGAAATGTCTTGGGTCCACTAAGAAAACTCCTATAGTATATTGCACTATTCTCCTTTAAATAATCCAGACACAATTTCAATATGGGAAATCATTGCCCAACCTTTTTTATATCCCCTTAGGAGAAGGAATCCATGTGGAATATATGCCCTCATTTCCCTGTGTCCGGTTGGAAAAGCCAATGTTTCCTTCAAGTCCAGTTGACTCTTCGTGTTTACATGAGCAAGTCTAAGTAGTTATCTTGGCAAATATGTAAATGTGGCTACACGTTATCTATCCTAGGATGTATCTCTTAGATTAGTCTTCCTCAAAATTCCAACCAAAATCCCCAATCCTCCTAAAGATCAGACAGCCAATAACGTCACTCAAATACTCATGTATGCTAAGATCTACATTCAGAAAGAGTTGGAAAAGCTCACAGGACCTTCATCCTGTAAATAGTTATAGAACATTTTGTTGGGAGGAACTCCCCCGTTCGGTTCTTCCAGCCGGGATTCTTCTTGACGGCGCAGTGCAGAAGAAATAGATCGTGAAGCCAGCTACCAGAAAGAGGTTTTATTTCGAGGATCAGCGTTGAGTGACAATTCAGCTCGAGTCCCCGGCTAGCTAGACAGAGTGATCTTTAAATAGGGGTTTTTATACCCTTTTGTGGTTTCCAAACTTGTCATTTCTGATTGGTAACAAACTTTATCATTTCTGATTGGTAACAAACTTATCATTTCTAATTGGTGAGTTTGAATTTGCCTTTTCTGATTTGTTGGTCAGTGACTATTGTTGGTTAAATTTCTTTGCTAATCCTGCCTGAAAGGTGTTAATTACTTTATTGTTGTGTCCTGATTGTTGCTAGCTGGTTCCTCATTGTGTGTCAAGTGTTTGCCATTTAGCCTCAGGCTGCTGTTGACCCAATTTAGTTGGGGTGTTCCTAGATTATTTCTTGGTTGGGCTGGGGAGGGGGTGTCCAACTCTCATCAATCCCCCCATTTTGGGCTATCACTGGAGTGTCAGTGATTAGCCCAACTGGTTCATATATACGGTAGTGGTGATCAATTTGGCACATCATGAGAGATGTTTTCTTGCTTTGTCCCTTGCTCCTGATGGGAGTTGTGCAGATCTTTAGGCATTTTAACCCTAAAGGAATTAATTGGCATAGGCAACAAAGGAGGGCTCCACCTATTATGACTGTGATTATACTACCAATAAGAATTTTCAACCAATGGAAGTCTGGTAACCATGAAAAGAGCCAGGAAAGGTCCCAGGATGACTGGTTGTGCCCAATGTTTTGTGCTAGTTCTTTTAAATGTTTGATATCTTGTTCAATTAGCCCAGATTGGTCGGATAAATTGAAGCAGCAGAGCCCTCTGAATTCTTCACAGCCATGATTGTGCCTCAATAATAGGTAGTCAATGGCTGCTCTATTTTCAAGGGTGGCTTCTCTGATTTGCCTTAGTTCTCTGTTTAAGGCGTCCAGTGCATGGGAAGTGGTGTTTAAACTTTTAGCTAGGGTACATGCCAGGCTGTTTATATTCCTTGAGTTTCGTGCTGCGAGCCCTGGCACTCCCACTAGAGAGACAGCCAATGCAATATATTCAGTTTTCGTGAGAAGGGGGGTTTTGAAATCGCAGTCAGGAGGTAATGTGTGGAAGCTCCTTCTTTGCCGCCTTTGTAGGGAGGGCATCAGCATGGTTAGTTGTCCTAACGTGCAAGGGCCCCCAGTGGAATTTGCAGGCAGGTAGGAATAAGCTCTCAGGCCACATAATAGAAACCATCCTGTAGGAAGTTTCACATAGCCATATGAGAAGGTGATGGCCTTGGTGTTGTTGCAGACCAGTTCAGTGTTTGTGAGGTTGTAGCAGTTGGAGACTTTAGGCTGGTGGCATCCAGTCAGTGTGAAACAAGTAGCTGCTTGGGTTACTGCTGCTACTTGTAATGTGTACATGCTGTTGTCCTTTATGTTTGTACTGGTTCCCCAGTCAAAAATGTTATAGTATGAGGCTATCAA